CTTGTTTGGTTCGGTTCACATATGGTATTAGACAACATATTGGAATGACATTGGGAAATAAAGATTCTGCTCCAAATTAGGATCATAATTATACTCTGAGCTCTGGTACTTCAGAATTAGTGTTGTTTAATACTTAGCTTTTATACACTAGTACAGAATCAGAGAATGGTTGAGGTTGGAAGGGACCTGTGGAGGTCCTCTGGTCCAACCCCCTTCCTCAAGCTGGGCCACGTACAACATGTTGTCTGCGACTATATTGATGTGGCTTTTAAGTGGCTCCAAGGATGGAGACTCCACAATCTCCTAGGGCAACCTGTCCCAGTGCTCAGTCACGCTCACAGTAAAAAGGGCTTTCTTGATGTTCAAGAGGGAACCTCCTGTGTTTCAGTTTGTGCCCATTGCCCCTTGTCCTATCACTGGGCACCACAGAAAAGAGCCTGGCTCTGTTGTCTTTGCACCACCCTCCTTTCAGGTATTTATACTCTTACATTTGCAGTATAGGAAGTAGTCTGTGGTCTGTTTTGTAGACACGGCTCTATAAGCTGTCAAGTGAAAGACACTTAGTTTTCTCTCAGTCACGTGGCTCAACATGCTGAATTTTCCTCCCGTCATACAGGGTCAGGAAAGAGGTAATTTGAGGATTTTTCAAGTACACTTTCCAGTAGATTTTGAGCAACTTTTTATGCAAATATTGTGATAACTCTGAGAGCTGCCTGAAAGGAAGTTTGGTCCAACCTAACAGAAATCAGTGGGAAATGGCTTACTGATTTCACTGGCAGTAAAACCGTGTCTTAAGGTTTTCACCAAGGGCACGTACAAATTCAAAATTATTGAGGAAACTGGACAACAGCTGCTGTGTTGCATGGTTTGGAGTATAGTTCACTGAGTGGGGCTACTAAGTGAGAAGAAGGAAGGTTGCAGCATTTTTTACCTTCCAAATAGGTGTGGTGATAACTGTCATACGTGGTTTTGGTTTTAAATAATCCTTGTCAAGTCTACTTTCCTGACTTAAATATAGATAGTATGCATGTTTCCTTTATTTTACGTTTTCTGTACATCTTTTTAATTGCCACCTGCAATAGTTGAAGAAATCCCCATACACTAAATATAGAAGTTCTAGTGAGAAACAGTTCCACCCTGCAATTTCAATAGTAATTTGAACATTTTCCCATTTTCCTTAGCACTTTTGGTCCCTTTTCCCACTGTCTTTTATATGTTAGTTGAGGGTACCTGTTTGTGTGAAGGCTTACTATACGCTAGTGCTTCATGCTCTTTCTTACATCATTGACTAGTTCTTCAGCATACTCCTTTTTGGTTCTTCTGTTGCCTTCTCTGTCCATTAGGGTGATATTCTTTCACACCTACAGTACCGTAAACCACTGCCTGTTGTGATGGGTTTTTCCCCTGTGTAGGTGTGGTGATGCTAGGACAACACTCCCACTTGTAGCACTCCCCTCCCAGTCTTTCCAGGTCTGTCCACAGCTGCCTCCTATCTAACATGAATGTGAAAAAAAAATGCATCCACAATATTTACCATAGTGAAGCTCCAAACTACTCAGTGCACTACTAATATTTATTTACTGTGTTGCTCAGAGGTTTCCTGGTGGTTGTGGCTTTGTGGGTTTTATTTTAATGGACACATGCAATGGGACAGTATGTGGGGGGATATTCTTATGCAGTATCTTGCATTTTGAAAGTTCAATAATGTGCTTCGTGCTTGTAGGACATTGCTTATTACCAAGCCTTATCTGCTGAGCAGTTGGCCTTATCTGCTGAACAGTTGCAGACAGAAGCTGCTAAAATTCAACCCAGCACTTCAGCCACCCAGGAGTTTTATGAAGCAGGCTTAGAATCAGCTGCTAGTGCCAAACTGGATGATTTGCAGCGTTCTTGGGAAACGCTGAAAAATGTGGTAAGTCTTCATCTGGAGGCTTCAAAATATTCAGCTAGCTCGTAAGGAATAAGATGCAAAGAACTGGCCCAGCAAATATTCTTTTCTGCAATTCTTGGTTTTCAGGTGGTATCAAGAATTTTTAGTTGGGATATTATATTACACTGGCTTTGTTCTTTGCTTGGAAGCCTGTGCAGAATCAACTTCCATTAAGAAAAAATAAAAGTCATTAAGGCTGATAGTTGCCTTCAGAAATATTGGTTATTGTCAGATTATATTCATAACGTGACAGGGAAATCCATTCATGCTGGATGAGTTGGCAAAAAAAGGCCCAAGAATCCAGTTTCTTCAAATACTGAGTCAACACATTTCTACATAGTAGTGCAGCATAGTCATCCAGTGATGTATGAAAATGGTCAAAGTTTTGATCACGTGCTATGAATGTTAATTCTTTGCAGAGGCACAGTAGCTATTACGGGATATTAAGAACTATGCGTCTAGCAAATAGTGCACATACACATTTGAGAGCATAGAATCTAAAATAAGGCATGAGAACGTGCCTACGTTTTCCCTGCTTATTAAAGTCCATTTTTTCAGTCACAGAACCTAGGATTTGACTGATTGTGTTTAAACAGATAGATATTTTTAATATGGATGTTTTCCTTTATAATTTATACTTTTGAAAACTTGTTGCGAGTTTTTTGGTTTTAGTCTTTTAAGCCTAGGGAAGTGTGAAGCAAAAGAGCAAGCAAATCCTGTATCAGAGGTCAGAATTTATACTTTCCGTTCCTCTTCAGATCAGTGAAAAGCAGCGCACCCTCTATGAAGCTCTTGAGCGTCAACAGAAATATCAGGACACACTCCAGTCGATATCCACAAAAATGGAGACCACTGAGATCAAACTAAATGAGAGTCTGGAACCAGCCAAAAGCCCGGAGAGCCAGATGGCTGAACATCAGGTAAAAAATTAGATGTGAGAAATAGAGGGAGAGCAACTATTACCTGTGCATCTTTATTTCCCTTTTTTTAGATAGTGCCGTTCTTCATGGCTGAACGCCTCAAAAATTCCATTAGTTGTATGAACCTTCTCTGTTAACTGTATGTCTTGCCTTTCTGGACTTCCTACTGTTCTAAAGGTGGTGTAATGGGGGTTCTTTCAATAAGGAGCCTTTTCAAAAAGTAGAGTAGATTATAAGAGTTTGTCCAATCAAAATTTTCAGCAAAATCTCTTGTCAAAGATTGTGTTCAGAGACACCTATATATACTCTTCTTCAGTATCAGTGCTACTAGCATATATCAGACTATTTATAATATTCCCAAATTTACTAAAAGCATAACCAATACTGATGCATTGTAAATTGATCTAAATACAATCTTTCCCTTGTTAAACAAAACAAAAAAATCAAAGCACACAGAAAATTCCCTCCCAAGGGAAGTCTTGAGAAATGATGCTCTGAATAATAAGGGAACACTTTATCAAGTAACCAATCTGACATATGTCCAAGTTGTAATCAACTAAGCCTTCTGTTTGATAGCTTGAAACTGTATGGCAAGTCCAGTTCTCATTTCAGTAGGAACTCCATGACCAGAAAAGGATAATATTTGGCTTTTGTAGCACTGTGTGATGTCCTGTGTGTCCAATGTGTATATGCTATCAGAAATGAAAGTAAAGTATCTGCTCTAAGGTATTGGTAATGCAGCATGCTTTTGAAGGTATCTTGGAAACTGATTTTATAAGATAAGAATGATAGTAGGAACTTCTACATCATGGAGTTAATCTCTGGATGTTTACTTATATTGCTGGACGTTCTTTGTCCACAGTAAATTTCAGGGTGGAAGCTAACTCGTGCCTCCGTTTCTTTCTCACAAACACACACTTGCTTACTTGTTCATTATCTTCACTGTATCTACTAGAATACCCTCCAGGAAATTTGTTAGAAGAACAAATCTGTATATATAATATTTCTAAAAGAATTCCTTCTTGTGATATGTTTCAAATTCAAGATAAGTAATTAAATCCAAATTTCAGTTATTAAATGCACGATCCTAGCTTATACATCTAAAAGCGGGACTCAGTCTTTCTGAATTCTGACTCTACCAAACCAGTAGTGATACACTACTCTCTGTTCCTCATGCTCCCCAGGGACGGTCATCTTGAATTTTATATTAAACCTATGCTTCCTGAGATACTTTCTTCTCACTGATAAATGAAGCAAATACTTTTTTTGCTCTCGTTTCTAAATAGGCTTTGATGGATGAGATTTTAATGTTACAAGAGGAAATCACTGAGCTTCAGACATCATTAGCCCAGGAACTGGTTTCAGAACCACTGGATGCAGAAACTGCTGATCAGCTGGCATTGCAGTCCACTCTCATGGTCTTGGCAGAACGAATGGCCACAATTCGAATGAAGGCATCAGGAAAACGCCAACTGTTAGAGGTACAAGACAAAACCTCTAGGAGTGGGTTTTTGGATCACATTCCAGATTTTGAGCGCCACTTTTGGCAGGCCTGTACTTTCACCAGTCTTTAGTCACCATTGAATGGTGATAATTAAAATAGTAATTTTCAGTTCTGCTCATTTCTCACAAGTCCTTTCACTAAGAAATTATTGCTCTTTTTTTAGGGAGCTCCTCATCTTAATCGTAGGTGATAAGTAACCAGAAGGAACTTGGAAACACACTGCAGGAGTCATATTTTGTGTAGTTGGTTGTTGTGGATTTTTTTTTAATATCCACATTGACATTTTCTCAATAGGTTTCCTCAGTATTCTTGTCCTCCACAGGAGAAGTAATGAAGTGCAGGTACTAAGAGTCATGTTATCTACAGTAAACTCGTGAGGAGTCCCCTGTCCAAACTGGGAGACAAAAGAAGGGGAAAAGCTTCAAACAAGAAATAACACCTCTTGCAAACAGTTACATTGTTTCTACACTCATCTTCCCAGCAATTTGCATGCAAACTTTTATCATGGAAGATGCACCCCTTTATTTCTTTGTCTATCATCTTTAACAAAAATCCTTTAATACTAAGATAATGTTAGAATAGTCCTTTACGCATAGGAATGTTGCTATGTATATTATAAAGGTGAGAAAGTGCAGTCATGCTAAAGCTGGCTACAGTTTGGCTACTTTGATATTTGCAGAGCAGCTTTATTGCTGAACTGCTAAGAACCACAGCAGTGAATTCATAAATACAGCAACTGCTGCCCTCAGAATTTCCAGCATCAATCAGTTCTGAGTGAGCATTGGCTCTGTGGATCTACCTGGGTTACAGGTGAGTCCCAGGGTGCATGAGCTGCATTAGTTCTCTGTGGTCATCTGAGACAGTGAACAGGTCCTTAGGAAATATCTTCGCTATTCTTAAAGAATTGCACTAAGTTTTACTTCTCTGAAGAACAATGGCTTTTATGTAAAAATAAGGAGCTGGAAGTAGAATAGGGATCTTACTGTTTATAGCTTGCACCCCATACAGGATCTTACAAACTTCTTGATAGTAATTAGGACGAGGTGCTAACTAATAATTTCAAGACAAAGCATGAGTCAAATATACTACTCTTAACTATGGTTAGGATTCTGACAGTTACTTTGATACAATAGCAGAAGTGTCCCCCAATAATCGTAGCTAAGAAATGCGTATGGTATGCAGATAATATTCAGTAATTTAAAATGTGCACTTTATAGCTCTGATTTCACATATAAAATCTTCCAGAACACTGCAGGGAGGTACATGTAGAAATACAGATAGAACAGGTAATGAAAATATTTTGCTGTTGAGGGCGTGGATTGGTAATATTGTTCTCTCTGTGGACCTAATTTAATTATATAGATCTTGAGAATTGTTTGACTCTGGATTAGAGACACTTAACAACTATCATTATTCTTTACTCTAATAGGGAATTATTAATTTTCTCATAAAAATAAAGCATTCAGAAAAGCTGTACAAACACTGCCCTGTATGAGGAATTTGTCCTGCATATACAGGTCTGAATTTCCTTACAGAGGTGTGGTAGGTTGACCCGGGCCAGTAGCCAAACACCCAGCCTCACTCCTCTCTCCTGTGGGATGGCGAAAAAATAGAAGGCTCATGGATCGAGATAATGACAGCTTAATAGGGTAAGGAAAAGCTGTGTATCCAAGCAAAGGAAAATAAGGAACATAGTCACTACTTCCCCATCAGCAGGCAGATGTTTAGCCACTTCTCCAGAAAGCAGGGTCACTCACAGCATGTGTAACAGCTGCTTGAGAAGGCAAACACCATAACCACAAATGACCACCCCTTGCCCCCTTTCCCTAGGCTTTTATTGCCGAGCATGATCTCATATGGAATGGAATATCCCTTTGGTCAATTCAGGTCAGCTGTCCTGGTTATATCCTCTCCCAATATTTTGTCCACCCCCAGCCTACTGGCCTTTGTGAGGGGCAGTTGGAAGGAAAGCCTTAATGCTGTGCAGGCACTGGTCAGCAATATCCAAAACATTGCTGTGTTATCGACACAGTTTTAGCCAGTTGCAAAGCATAGCACCGTACAGGCTGCGATGAAGTTAACTCCATCCCACTCAGATCCAGTACAATATTCTCCCCCTGTTCCATACCATTTTTAGCATGCTTAAGTTCCACATTATCTGATATATCCAAGTATCCTCTGACCATCCCTTCCTATCTGTTTCTTATTCCTGAAATCCCCTCTATTCTCTCCAGAGCTCTGTATCTCTTAGACTGGGGAGCCCAGAACTGGACACAGTACTCCAGATGTGGACTCACTGGTGTTAAGTAGAGGGGAAGGATCACCTCCCTCAACCTGATGGCAACACTTCTCCAAATGCAGCCCAGGATACTATTGCCCCTCTTGGCCACAAAGGCCCATTGCTGGCTCATGTTCAACTTGGTGTCCACCAGGACCCCCAGGTCCTTTTCAGCCAAGCTGCTTTCCAGCTGGTCAGCCTCCAGCATATACTGGTGCCTGGGGTTGTTCCTCCCCAGGTGCAGGACTTTGCAGTTCCCGTTGTTCAACTTTATGAGTTTCCTGGCAGCCCATTTCTTCAGCCTGTCAGGGTCCATCTGGATGGCAGCACAGCCCTCTGGTGTATCAACCACTCCTCCCATTTTGTGTCATCAGTAAACTTGCTGAGGATCATTACTGGTCTTCACTAGACATTGTGCCACTGATCGCCACCCTCTGGCCCCAGTTAGTCAGCCAGTTTTCAAGTTCATATGGGACTATTAAAGGGTGAGCGGGTCTTGCTGGTCAATCCCTGTCTCTCCAATGGATGGACCAGCTGACGGATGGAGCCGGGGAGTCTGTGTTGCAGTGATGCTGTTACTGCAGCAGCTGTTGGAGCTTAATGTCTTTCCACACCCCACAGGACAGGCACGGGGATCCTCCAAGAGGCCAGACAAGGTACACAGCTCTTCAGTTGTCTTTTTACCCATGGTGGCTATACTGAAGGCCCACCATTACCCTGTTGGGTCCTTGAAGTACCCCTCTCATACCTCTCTTGAGAGAATATAAGGCTGTCTAACAGCCTGCTGCTGCCAAAAAAGACAAAGCTGCGCTCCTTTGCCTACAGCCCACTCCCAGTTCTGCATCCTGGTGCATCTTTCTCCCTAAGCAAACAGTGCTGTGCTAGTTGAGCAAACTGAATCAATGTGGGGGAAACCCAAAGGAGAGCAGCAAGAGGAGGCAGAAAAGACCTCACCTTTAGAAGGCTATAATAGCAGAGATTTATTGAAGGAAGTAGAAATACAGTGACTGAACTGAAACAGAATTTCAGTCACCAGAAAAACGTGGTCATTGAATGAAAGCAATATTTTGTAAAGATGAAAGAAAGGGCTTATTATGTCTTAGAAATACTATATAGAAGTTGTGAGAGACAGAGAGGGAAATTTTTTTGAAAGTGACTTTTGTGGCATATTTCTTTTAAAAAGTATAATTGGTACCTCTAGGAAAAACTGAGTGAGCAGCTGGAAGAACAGCGGCAAGAGCAGGCGCTTCAAAGGTATCGTTGTGAAGCTGATGAGCTTGACCATTGGTTACTCAATACCCGAGCAACACTGGACACAGCTCTGGTTACAGCTGAGGAACCTATGGACATGGAAGCACAGCTGGTAGACTGTCAGGTAAAATTATCAGTCCTGTAATGTTTAGATGAACAGGATGGTCATAGCTTTATCTGAATGAAGAGACAAAGAGGCAGTGTTAATGTTAAGACCATTATTGAGTGGGATGAGCCAGCATATCAGTGAGGAAGACGTTTCTGAGCTCCGTAGCACCTCATATTTGCTTAGTTAGCTTCATCAATGATTTGTGAAATGACAAGAAACAAAGATAAGGCCATATTTTAAAGATTGCAAACAGTGCTTTCCGAAGCACATGTAAGCATAGCAGTAGGAAAATAGGATATCCGTACTGCAAGAACATTTGAAGCTCTACAACTTTCAGAGGGCATTTTGTTTTGCTTTAAAGGCCTCGTATTCACTGCACTTGATGTTTTCACTCCACTCAAGCTAGAGTTGTTGAACAGCTCACTTGATAGATATGAAAATACCTGTAGTGTACTTTCTCACTCCTCCTTTTCCAGCTGAAGAATACATTCCCATGAGCAGTGGTGACTGGGACAGTGTTGTGTTTTCTTCAGGAGTAATCCCTGCCCACATTCAAAAGTAAAGTAATATCATCAGTAGTTATAATTTTTATGAATTTAATATTAATCAACCCAGAATACCAAAACAACTAAGGAAAAACATTTTGCTGCAATAGGATTAATTGCATATACTTTTATTAACAAGGCTCATATCAGTCATAACATCCAGGTTCTCAAGTTAGTGGGAGTTTTCCATTTTTCCATTTTTCCATTTTTAATTGACAGCTTAGAACTGTATGATCATTATAATTAAAATTACAAGATAGACAAGAGACAGATGGACAGAAGATCCTTTTTCGTATTAAAGACTGAGGATCTCAACTATTTTAGGATAAATGGGCGTTAAGTTTCATTTAAGTCCAATGAATTAAACGTCAAGTTAAATTTCCACTGACATCGCTTCATTATTGGAATTTTCAGTCTGCTTAGTCTCAAGTGTTCTTTCATCATCCATCCTTGGTAGCTGTTTGTTGTACAAACTGGAAACTTAAACAGAGCAGTAATTCTTTTTTTTTAATATAACCTGTAGGAATCTCAAAATTAAAAAGAACACTTAACTTTGAAAAAGTTAATACTGCTGTTCTTTTGTTGGTACTTAAAATCTTAATACAGTAAGTTTTGTATAAGACCTACATTTTTTTCCACTTTCTAGACACTCTGCCCATCTTATCCTGCACACATTCCTTCAGGAGCAATATTTATGAGTTTATACTTGACAGTTGCGATGGAAAGAAAAGCATTGGATGTCAGGCTAGGTTTTTGAGCAAGAATTGTGTGAGTTTTCAGTTTGGAAGATCAAAATATGCACTATATCTGTAATACATGAATGGTTAATGGAATGTCAGGGAAGTAGCTTTTGAGAATAAACGTGGCAGAGATTTGTCACTTTAAGTCTCTCTTTAGACTAAAGAGGATTACGCAGAAATCCTTAAGTCCATCATGCACCAATCAGAAAGAGCAAATAGCGAGAAGAGCTTATCAACTCAGCCAGAGCAACACATAGGAGGAGGCAGAAAGCATTTCACTAACTGTACATGAAAGAAGAGGAGAGAAGTAACTCTAGCTGCATGCTCTGTTTCTTGTCATTATGGATGTCAGTCTAGCGTCTTAGCCACCCTTACCTGTAATGTGCAAATAAAGAGCATCTCCTCTATAACAAATCCTTTTTTTTTTTTCAATTAACTTTTTAATTTCCTATTTTGAAAAAGGTTGTAAACAGAAATGGCAAATGCAAACATTTGCAAGCATATTCCTAAGGACTCTGAAAGGGACTGGAAGCCAAAGAAATGATAATCTGTCTTGTCTTTAGCTTGATGACGGGTGAGGTGGGCCACAGGTCGTCTTGCCAAAAGCGTGACAGATGCTGGAAAATGTATGAATTTGGTTCTTTGTTCTTGCTGCTGCAGAACATGTTGGTTGAAATAGAGCAGAAGGTGGTAGCCTTGTCAGAGTTGTCAGTGCACAACGAGAACTTGGTTATGGAGGGGAAGGCTCACACCAAGGACGAGGCAGAGCAGCTGGCTGTGAAGCTCAGGACGCTGAAGGGCAGCCTTCTGGAGCTGCAGAGAGTGCTCCATGACAAACAGATCAACATTCGGGTAAGTGACTCTTTCCAGCTGGCTTCACAGTGGGCAGAAGGTTGGGGGATTTCATAAAAGTTTTATGCAACTGGGGAAAGGAGTAAAACTGTTTTACTGATTTAGTTTAAGCTATTCATCTTTAGTTAGTAAATGGAATTACGCTCCAAAATAAAGAACTGCCTAGAAAGCTTTAGCTTGTCATTTTCAAGTAAACAGCACCATTTCATGGTGAAACTATCTTAACCTGTCTTCAGTGAAAGGACGATAATAAAGTAGATTATTAGCTTAATCTGGATGTGCTCTGTGCCTGTTCCCAGTTGCTTTAGATTGCACGTGCTCTGGAACAGGATCCCTCCCCCAACAAAAGAGCAACCCTAAATGCATGCTTTCCTCCACACAGCATGCACAACACAATGAGCAGATAATTAAACATTTTAAAATATGGCTAATACATAGTGGCATCATTACACTAAACAAAATACTGTATAAACATGAAAACATTTAACCTCTGTCTTGTCCTAGGTTTCTGTTCTAGCAGCATCGGTCTGCTTATTGCCACTAGTTCATTTTATTTAACAGTTGGTTTTGGTCATTCTTTAGGTTAAGATAGCATGTGGACAACCGAATACATGCAAGACACCCAACCATGTAATGTGACTGACTGGTTTTGAATTTGCTTGCCCTGCTGTGACTCTCTTTCCCGCCTTTTCTTTTACTTCTTTTCTGGGCTTTGCTGTGCAAATTAAACATGATAAGCTTCAAAGATTTCTGGCTTCTAATGCAGATTAAAGTCTACTGAGAGGTTAGCTTGAAAAGTCACTTGACGTGCTAAGAACTATTTTTAGTCCAAAGCAACTGGATAACTATAAAACTTAACATAGCTTCACAAAAAAAAACCCCATGAAACAAATACAAACAAAAAAATGAAGGAAAAACCCCAGATATTTCTTTCTATTACCTCTAAGATGAAGTAACTTTAGTGTTATTATTGCGTATTAAACCTCATGATTAGGCAAATGAAAAGTGTTATCAACAGCATGTAGGCACATACTACTATATCCAGATATATTCACTTGTGAAGTGAAAGGGCATTGCAGACTTTGTTGCTTCATTTTAAAATATGCATGCTGCATTTTAAAATGCAGTTGTGTGATTTAGTTTATTTAAACTTTTAAAACAGATTTTTTGGATGCTTTTCTAATATAGAAAATAACAAAATAATTTCCAAATGTAGAATAAGAATCGTTTAAGATTCTACATGCATGCAACACTTCGTTTTCTTTGTAAATTGCAAACTTTTTTTGGATTACATTTATGGATCGTGGAAGAAAATAGGTATAGGCAGTATAACATCTTCAAATTTTCAATGAGCAATTTTTTTAAAATGTGAGATTCTATAATGTCTTTTTCCAAATAATCAGGCATACAGTATCGCTCTTTGACTGAGGCTCAGAGCATCACATGCCCAAAAATGAACTAACTCTATCTTCTACCATAATTAACCCTCAGAATTATTACATGCCAACAGCATTGCTCATGCATGTAGGAAACTCAGACTTAGACATGTCTCTAGATGTACTGATAACCTTGTAATAGCCCAGAGCCATACACAGACCAGCCTGCACTCAGAAAAGGAAGGATCATCCCAAACTGCACTGCAAGACCAAGAGCGTTATATAAAGATTGAGCTATATTTTCCTTACAGCTATATTTCAGCATATCTGTTATTCCTGTGATGCAAAGCTTTTTAGGAGCCGATGTGAGATTATGCGGCTTCCTTGCAGCAATTTCAGTTTTCCTTCTAATTTTAATTAATGTCCCTAATGATACGGAAAAAGTGATTTGGAGACCAACGCCTTTATTCATAAAATAAAGCAGTGAAACTCATCAGAAACGTGCTGGATCAGGAGAGTTCCAGACTACATTGATTCCAACTATAGCATTTTTCAAGCACTTTGAAAGATATACAAAACGTTGCCTTATTACTGTTACTTACTAACTTCTGTGACATAAGAACAATAAAAATAAATAGAAACCTTATAAAACAAAGAAGTAGAACAGGTTCTGCAGTGAAAAAAACAGATAGTGGTTTTTTACTTTTTATTACAACATGGGTGCGTGTGAGGGATGACTTCAGTTCCACAAGATAAATATACCTGATATAAATTTGTACATTTCTGAACTCCTTTGAAAGATCAATTTTATCACCATTTTCTTCAGGGATTTTCCAATTATTTCTGTGCTGGACTGGATAGTCCCCAGGAATGACAGCTTCAAGCTTTTGTTTCCCTGGCTGTTTAAAGGAAATGTAATACAGTTCCTTCAGACAGAATTCAAATGAAAATGCAAGTGTGTTTTTCAAACTTATATCCTATGATTTGAGAATGATAAAATCTGGTTCACAAATAATTTTGATGTAAAAAATATGCACAATAGCATATTTGCATCTACAAATGCCACAGTCCCTTTTACACTCCTTGCTATTGCAGGAACTGTGGGACTACTATTTAGTTGTCTTAGTATAACTCCAGCATTGTAGCTTCTCAACCTTCTTCCAGAGAAGAAAAGACAAAATCTAACTGAAATCAGCCTGCGCAAATGTAAAATGAACTAGATACTATTCTCTGAAGGAATTTACAAGTTGAACAGCTATTGTCCCTAGAGCATATAAAATGAAGCAGATTTTTTAAATATAATGTACAGAAATATTGTCTTTTTTTCTATTTTTTAATAGAAAAAATAAAATTCTAGACCATCTTTATTTCTCACATAATCTTTTCTTTGCCTAATCTGATATCCTATGATGACATTTTTCATACTCTTAACACGTCAGCTTTTCTAGGAACTTGTTCCTACGAAGTATCGCAGTTCACCTGCAAACTGAATCCTTAGTGAAACAAAGCTATTTCACAGAGCAAGGGCTAACGGTTCTCTGAAGCTCTAGATACCTGCTTGCTTGTTTTGCTCCTTTTACAACTTATATCCTCTAACACTAATCAGTCCTTTCAACTCCAGTATACTCATCATGCCCCTAAATGAAATCTTATACCTAACTTCTACTGGTTAGCAAAACTCTGCAGTTTCAGTGCCTGATGCCAGGGACGGTGGTGGCAGAGGTCCATCCCAGTTGTTAGCGTAAAGAGTACCAGGTGAGGTAAGAGGGGTTTCCTCAGCCACCTTCGGCCCTGCTGGTCCCTGCCTGGTTTGAGACAAAGGCTCTCTGGAAGGTGGAACGTGCTTTCATCTTGGAGAGCCTGCTGTAAGGTCTGGCGCTCTTACTCTATTTAGAATAAGAGCTGAATCATGGGCAAAATATGAATCCTGCAAAAATTAGGTGTATAAACAAAATGAGAGAGGAATTAAGCCCCAGCTTTAGCTCTTGAAGCTTAAAAAAAAAAAAAAAACAAAAAACCCAAGTGCAAACTCTATAGTCATCATGTGCATGCAAGTACCATTAAATAAATCCAGAGAGTTGTGTAGATCTAAGTAGCCAAACCTACACGTCTGTCTTTAAAATTAGGCCTGGTGTGTTAAAATCCCTGAATTTGAATACATAGGCTGCTAAAATAATTTAAATTTACAGCAAACGTGGATTTCAGAAGGCAAGATGTTGATAAAGCAGCTTTTGGAACTATTAAGGCATTTTCTTGTTTTTGCTTTGCTTGCACAGAAGGCCAGTTTAATCACTCATGTTGGAAAAACATACTGATAGAAGTATGAAGTGAAGGGACTGTTGCTTTTGCTGTTCTGTTATAAAATTCTGTGGTTTGATCTCTCCTACTGTCTTTACTGTTCATATCACATAATCTGCTGTTAACTGACTGTGTTTCTGCCAACCATGGGTAGAGTTACGTACTTACTGATAAATAAATTTTGACCAGAATGACAACTAGCATTCTCTCGTTTTTAGTTGGACAAAAAATTGGCCTTAATTAGACTAAAAACCTGGCAGAAACAATCCATTGATTCCCTGCATTGCCAGTTAGAGCTGCACCCTCTGTTACAGACCAATGCTGTTTCTTAGGAGACACAGAACAGTCTTCAGAAACATATCGGTCCGTGGTCTCTGATCTCTGGTGTCTGATTCTGCTAAGTGCAGTGGTGCATGTTTATTTTTACATTTTTACAGATGCTTTCTTGCTAGTGACCAATGACCAGTAGGTCAGAAATCTGAAGTCATTGCTCGCTTCAGAATTTATGTGAGCCAGCAGCTTGAGGGCTGGAAGGTGGCACTACGTGTGGCTTTGAGTTGATGAGCTGGACCTGCCAGCTCCCTAGCAATATAAGAGAGTTTTTAAAATCTTTATTTCTTTCTCTTAAAGCAGGGATCATTACAAGAAAAGGAGGAGAGTGATCTGGACTTCGTTTCCTCACAAAGCCCCAGTGTCCAAGAATGGCTGGCACAAGCAAGAACCACTCGTTCACAGCAGCAGCAGAGCACCCTGCAACAACAAAGAGTTGGTGTTTTGCATTTCTTTTACTCTCATCTTTAGATTGTGCTTAACACTGTAGCTGAGCCATTCTGTTAATATTTCCACTGAAATCTTCATTTTTACACTGTTTGTTACTCAGTGCTCTTGTAATGATGCACCTGAGCTCACTATTTTGTGTCTGTAACAGCCAGGCAGACCAGACTTCCTGGGTGACCGGGGTCAACTTGCTTAATCACTCTATACTTCCATTTTCCATTAATAAAATTAAATTGAGTCAACCCCTAAAGTTAGTGTAAGGAGATGATGGTATTTGTTCAAAATAGTAATCAACATTGTCTTTATAGAAGCAAAGATAGACACATTACAAGGTATATTGTGTTGCTTGATACACAGACATCCTCACTGGGTTGCGTTCCAGAAACTGCATTGCATTAGTCAATTAGTTCAACAACCCAGTTTATGTACCAAATATTTCTGTGTCCCTGGGTGGATGTTTTGCACTGCTTTTGGTGCTCAAGCAAGCCATGTCGGAAATAGCTCAGCAATCTTTGCATCACAGTTAGGCAATGTAAACATATCCTTCCAAGGCAAAAACAATCTCTTTGAGGTTTGTTTTGTTTTTTGTAACTTGCTATGCTAGGAACTGGAACAAGAGCTAGAAGAGCAGAAGAATCTGCTTCGGTCAGTAGCATGCCGTGGAGAAGAAATCCTAACACAGCACAGTGCTCCAGAAGGCCTATGTATAAGGTGTGCTTTCACGTGTTCTTCTGCAAAGTAAATTTCTATGACTGTGTACTTTGTCATCCTTATGTTTCCATCCTTCTTCTGCATATAATCCACTAATTTTTGTTTTATTTTTATACAGCACCCAGGATACTGGGGTCCTGGTTTATAATTCAGTAGTATGATAATATAGTTACACAAACTCTTTTGTGCCAATAGATCACCTTTAACATTTAGAAATTCCTTTTATTCTTATTATCAAGCATCACACTAAAATTACAAACACCTGGGACTTATTCGACAATCAGTGGATCAATTGCTATAGCTTTATTGTCCAGCATTGGTGTATGAATAGTAGCTGATCTCTAAAACATCATAGTCTGCCATTGCAACCAGATCTTCCCAGATGAAATACTCATTGGTTAATTTTATTTTTTCTGCAGTTGGTGAATATTTTTCTTTTTGAAGCCTTGTGTATTTTGAATTTCATCTCTGGTCTATATTTTCTTGCACACTTTCCCATTTGAGGGAAGTAGATATCAGTGAAAGCCTAGGCTCTGGCTGGGAGAGACTTCTGCCCTAGCAAAGGCAGAAGAAAATAACTGCCTACTGCCGATGTGGACCTTGGGGGAGCAGGAAGGGCCAGGTCTTGGGAAGACGAAACCAGGATGAACATTATCAGCTTGAGAATCAAGGAGCAGTCAGTCCTTTGGTTAAAATACTTAGCTGATATATCTCAGTAGTCATGAGCACCCTTGTGGCTCCTCCAACATGCCAAAGTCTAGAACATGGAGGTGGTTCACAAGGCCGCAGAACCAAGATTTAGGCATAGGGAATGTAAGCTGTACTCGGTAAGTTCTTTTCTTCAGCATTTGTGTTAATTCAATGTGGTTTTTTAGTACAATGCCAGAAAGTACTTAACTTATCTCCTTTTTGAGGCTTCCTTTTTTCACAACGTGTTACACTGTAGAAACAAACGAAAAAAAACAAACAGAAAATGCTGAACTTCATTCACTGTTTATCAAAGCTAAACTCATGTGCTTCTGCATTAAGATATTAGGGTATGTCTGGCATTTTGAGAGGGGAGGTGGGGAAGGAGTCAGATAAAATATTCTTTTTCATTTAATGCTTTGAAGTAAAGCTTGTTTAAAGGTTACATTTCAATGTAGTATATATTCAGTCCGTTTTGGGGGTTCTTACTTAGTATGGATACTTGCAAGTCTAAACAGTTTCTTAGAAAGTACATTTTATCCCATCAGTCAAGAACTTCTTGCAGTTACAAACCAGTCTTTGTCTTACTCTCTGGGGGGGAAAAAAACCAACCAAACAAAAAACCCACCCCAAAACAAGTAAAAGCTTTAAAAAGTAACAATTTAAATGTAAAATTTCCTAATTGAAAGAGGATATAAACACATTACCTGTTATAACTTTTGTATTTGTTAAACCTCCGTGTATCTTGCCATTCAGTGAGAAGCCTGATACGCTCTCTGAGGAATTAGGCTTGGAAGGTGAGAAGCCATCATCTGAAGAACAGATGAAGATGAAATGGGAAAGCCTAAACCAGGAGTTCAATACCAAGCAGAGACTGCTCCAGAAAGCTTTGGAACAAGAACAGCTGGTAGCTATTTTTAATTTCTCTTTGCATTTTCTCTATGAAAGCAGTTGTCACAACATGAGGTACAGTATGTGCATAGCAGATGCAATAAGGTGATGTAGTTAAGGCAAAGAATATGGAACAATTTATTTTTGGGACATCTTTAAAAACTATGAAATATTTGCACTAGCATTGCTCTTGTTCAAAGTGATTTGAATTGTGGTACCATTCAGGAAGGAAGGAAGGAATAAAATTTTCATCTAAGTCTCTAACCCAGGATAATTCTGTAACAAATCATCCCTCTGAAATTGACCAGTACTTCAGTGACAACTTAGAGGAAAAACTGGTATTTTCAGATTGAATTTATTTGTTACATTCAATTCGTGGTCTTAATGACTATGTGGCAAAGCAGCAAGTGATTTCAGCCACAGGATTTTTACTGGAAGAAGCAGGGGTTAATCAACTAAATTGGGAACAGTCCAAGATCTGTATTCACATACATCCTCCATTTTATTTTTAATAGACCCAGGTCCATTATTCTTTATATAATACTACAGTAAAATCAGCTTCCAAAGTTCTAAATATCTTGTATTTGACAGTAATTAATTATTCATTTGGTAAAAGCAAGCCATTGCTAATTCTAGCCGCAAGTATTTATTCTGCACTTCTAGCAAACCTCCTGTTGAGCAATCTTTTATTCAAGATGTTAAAGACAGAACAATTGTGGAAGGGCGTTGATCATTATTTGGTGATATTCTCAGTCAGCAGTAGAATCTGTATAGCTGAATTTTGTGCCCTATATGTGTGGTAGAAGCACTCCTAATCAGTACTTCTCTCTTGGCAGCTGTATAGCAGACCGAACAGACTGCTATCTGGAATGCCTTTGTATAAGGAGGAAGGGCAGGATGAAGATAAAGCCTCAGTGTCACCAGTATTGGCTGAATTGAATAAGGCCTTTGAAGATGTGTCATCTGAGGTAATGTTTCAATTGTCTTTACACTGATCTTCCAGCAGAGCCACATTTACAATGAAAACTCCTCTAGCTCCCACCTTGAAATCCAGCCCTTTCACAAATACTAGATGTTAGAAAGAGTATCTTGTACTTCTGCTCTCGACTTCTCTGGTTCCTTTTGCCCAGGCTGGACGGGTGGAGGAGAGCCTGCATCTTGAACAGAAGCTGTATGAGGGTGTTGCAACCACCTCCTTGTGGCTAGATGGTGTGGAAGAGCAGGTCTTTGTTGATACAGCTCTGTTGCCAGAGGAGGAAACAGAAACATATCTCTGCAAGCAAGAGGTAAGGAAGCCATGAATAGGACTTTCTTTAAATTGCCAATAAGGGTGCATTTTATGTAGCATTTAGAAAGAAAATACTACAATCCTGGATAAGTGATGTCATAATCTCTGTGTAAGTGCAGTATTCAGCTACTGTTTAGAAGTAACTTTATTCACTATGTAAATAATTGTTGTGAGTTGACCCTGGCTGGACACCAGGTGCCTATCAAAGCAACTCTCAAAGCAAAGCTCCCTCTCCTAAGCTGGACAGGGGAGAGAAAATATAACAAAAGGCTCATGGGTTGAGATAAGAAAGGGAGAGATCACTCACCAAGTAACGTCATGGGCAAACCAGACTTGGCTTGGGGGAAATTAGCTTAATTTTATTACAAATCAAAATTAGAGTAGGATAATGAGAAATAAAAACTAAATCTTAAAACACCTTCTCCTACCCCTCCTTTCTTCCCAGGCTCAACTTCACTCCCAGTTTCTCTAACTCCTCTCTGCCAGCAGCACAGAGAGACAGAAATGGGGGTTGCGGTCTTTTCATCACAAGTTGTCTTTGCCACTCCATCCTCCTCAGGGGGAGGACTCTTTACAATCTTTCCATCCCGCAGCGTGGCATCCCTCCCATGGGAGACAGTCCTCCATGAACATCTCCAACATGAGTCCTTCCCACAGGAGACAGTTCTTCATGAACTGCTCCAGCATGGGTCCCTTCCATGGTGTGCAGTCCTTCAGGAACAGATTGCTCCAGCACAGGGCCACAAGTCCTACCCACAAACCTGCTCCAGCATGGGCTCCTCTCTCCACAGGTCCACAAGTCCTACCCACAAACCTGCTCCAGCATGGGCTCCTCTCTCCACAAGTCCACAGGTCCTGCCAGGAGCCTGCTTCCAAGGGGACCCCTTCCATGGGGTCACAGCTGCCTTCGGGCATCTACTTGCTCTGGCGTGGGCTCCTCCATGGGCTGCAGGTGGATATCTGCTCCACCATTAACCTCCACGGGCTGCAAGGGGCCATTCTTCCTCATCACAGTCTCCAGCGTGGGCTGCAGGGGAATCTCTGCTCTGGTGCCTGGAGCACCTCCTGTCCCTCTTTCTTCACTGACCTTGGTGTCTGCAGAGTTGTTTCTCTCATATATTCTCTCTCCTTTCTCTGGCTGGAATTGCACAGGTGTTTTTACCCCTTCGTAAATACGTTATCCCAGAGGTGCTATCATTGTTGCTGATGGGCTCGGCCTTGGCCAGCAGTAGGCCCATCTTGGAGCTGGTTGGCATTGGCTCTGTTGGGCATAGGAGAAGTTTCTAGCAGCTTCTCACAGAAGCCACCTTTGTAGTCCCCCTCCGCTACCAAAGCCTTGCCACACAAACCCAATGCAAGAATGTTGCAGAAAGCAGCGTCTGCCATGAATTTTGCCTGGTCAGAAGAGAAATATACATAGAGTCTTTCTTCTGTTTAACTTCTTTGCTAAGTGTTAGCAAACACCACGGTTTGAAATTGAAATGAAATTAAAAAGAGGGAGGAATGCCCTGGGATATGGAAACAGTACAAACTCATGAACATGCGAGGAAGAGGGAGGGAAAAAGACTTTTGCAACAGCACCATGGATTTCTGCTTCATGAAGTGCTTGTTTGGGCAGGTTCATTTTCTTTCAGCACTATTTTCGTCAGAGCAGTTAGGGTTTTTTTTACTATCAGAAATACTATAGCTGCATAACTTTGTCTGATGTGCATATATTAACAGTGTAAAAAAAGTCACTGCATCACTGCAAAATTGGCAATGGTTTTGGCAATATGTTTGCCTGCTTTCTAGAATGTCTAACTGTCACTTTGTTTTGTTTTCTACAAAATCAGTCTCTTGCCAAAGAAATTAAAGAGATAACAGAAGAAATGGATAAGAACAAGAATTTATTTGCTCAGATATTTCCTGAGAATGGTGATAATGGGGTTATTATAGAAGACACTTTGGATTGTCTCCTGAGAAGACTGACCTTGCTGGAGTCAGTAGTAAACCAGAGATGCCATCAGATGAAAGAAAGGCTCCAGCAAATAGTGTCTTTCAAGGTATGATGTCCATCTGAAGGAGTTAACAAGAGTACATGTCAAATGGGGATATAAAGGATTTGATTCTCAAAGCAAAGAGAATTTTTGGTACCAAATCCAGAGAACAGGCTTTCATAGGTTTTTACTGAAAATCAGATTTCTTCTTGGGCTATACAAAATTTCGCACCCAAATCATGATCCAAAATTTAAACTTTCTGCTAGAAGCCTTCTGCAACTCATGTAATTATTGTAGAAGTGATCATTCATCCCACACTTTCTCACCCTGCTGGCCCTACAATAAATGGAAGCTGTTGAATACTGTTCTCAAAGGAGAAAAAGCAACTTTACAGTTCCACTCTACACATTTTATAATTTCATAAATGACAGAGTACACTGTTTTTATTAGCTGTGATAAAATAGAAAGCATAATACTGATTCCCACCTTTCTTATCACCTTTTACCCATCTCATTATTCTGTAAGAGCTTGTATCTCAAGCTGTCTATGTTGAGCAAAGCAGAAAAAAATGAAGTGGAGACATGTTTGCTTTTAGTAATCTTTTCAAACGGAGTTCAGAAGTGTTTTCACACCTACCTTGGTCTCTACCTTCTCTCCTATTCTTATCATATAGATCCTCCAATATGGTTTAGTTTTAATGAAAAAAAACATAAATTCCAGAAAAAAAAAAAGGAAAACAGATTGCTGGGGTCTTTAGATTAGGATCATCTTTTCATAGGTTGTTGCTGTCGGATTCCTTTCCAAACTCTGTAACCTTTCCTCTGCAGTAGATAGGAAAAAAAAAAAAAAAAATTCTAACAGTTTCAATAAAAGGCCTTTCTTCACTGAAGAAACGAGGCAAGCTGATTAGAATCCTGTGCCTTATTGTTATACCAGAGATATTTAACATTTAAAAGAATTTATGCATTAAAAAAAAAAAACCACAATCAGAAACACACTCCTATATAATACTTAAAATATTAGAGAAATGTGCTGATTACTTTTTATTTTACCAATATTAGGAGTTCTGTTGGGATGAATGCAAGAAAAAAAATTGATTGTAATTCGGCAAAAATTGTTAAGTAATATGTATATGTGTACTCTGATAAGGTAGGCTAAAAGTTGTAGTGTGTAGTTAGCCCTGTAATGCATTGAAGCTTTGTTTACTTTTTTGCTCAAGTTTGTATTGAAAAAAGCTTGCCTTAAAAAGTAAAACCTAGCTAGTTTATGGGCATATGCGATGGCATAAACTACACAAGAATAAAATTTTTTTGTTAAATGAAGCTAATTGACCCTTGCTAAATAATTATCTAATTGGAAGGCAAAAACAGAAGTGTGTTCATAGGTTATGTTTTGAATAGGAGTTGTTTTAGCTTTTTGCTAATATATATCTAGTTGTGGATTTTCAACAATGTTGCATGTTTTGCACTGAATAATTATGGTGCTTCCAGTGTTGAATATTTTTATGCCGTAGTGCTGACATTGTAACATTGTAACGCTTTAAACTTGTTGGAACACAAAATATTTTTCAGTTGTTTTGTGCTGTGATTTGCTGTAATTTGTTGTTGCTCTTGTCTCCTCTAGAATGACCTGAAGCTTCTGTTTACATCTGTGGCTGATAACAAATATTTAGTTCTACAGAAACTAGCAGAGGCAGCTGAAAGACCAGAAACAGAACAAATGCAGGTATTACCAAAGTTCTATTACTTGGGCAGGGGCGTTAGAAGGTGTTAGAAAAACTAATAGTCCTTTTGTGCTTGTACCAAAAAATTAAAAGTGTGGAACTTCACAGTAAGGTTTTGTATAGAATAGTGTATAATACTAAAACAGTTTTTTATTTAAAAAATAATAATGCCATATTGTATTTAACTTGCAGAAACAAACTGGGCTCTCCCAACTTTGAATTAGTACCTTTTCTATATAGTATCCTTTAAAATTTCAGCAGACTGAAGGACTGATTAATACTTCAGGAGGAAAACAGAAAAGAGCATTACCATATGGCAACTACAGTACTGTTATTAAGCCTTCAAAGTAAATGATGAAATTTTCAAATACAGGTCATACTGCAGGCAGAAGAAGGTTTGAAGGAACTAGATACTGGAATCAATGAATTAAAGAAGCATGTAGACAAGCTACAAATTGACCAACCTTCTGTGCAAGAGCTGTCTAAGATCCAGGTATGGTTCATAAGTTCAGTGAGATCAAAGGTATTGTATGCTTCTTTTTATTGCTCATAAGGCAATTTAGGAAAGCATATTTAAAAGCATTTTCAGTGTGTATAGAAGAGTATTTTCTCCCTGATTCACTTAGTTTTCTACTTTTGCATTTTCAGTTTTTCTAACATCTCTGTTATTCATAGTAATAATCATAAAAGCAGACAAAACTATGTTTTCTTTGAGCTCTTGTTGAGTCCCTGTTCAAATAGATAAAGTTCAGCATGTAAACATAACTGTCTGCTGAAGGTTGAGCACTGTTCTCACCAGTGTCTCATGATCTTGGGATTTAGTTCTCTCTCGCATCCATCATTAAAAAAAAAAAAAAGAGGGGGGTGAAGGAGTATAGATAGCTAATGTGAGCTGAAACTGGAAATGTGCTTTTACTAGAACACCTTTCATGTTCCTGCGTACTTTCAGTTAGACTCGGTTTTGAACACACCTAAGTAGTAGGACTCTTATCTTAAGGCTCTCTGAAGTAGATTTTACTAGAACACCTTTCATGTTCCTGCATACTTTCAGTTAGACTTGGTTTTGAACACACGTAAGTAGTAGGACTTTTATGTTAAGGCTCTCTGAAGTAGACACATGTGGGCAATTGATCCAGAAATTCTATAAGGTTGTTGAAACTCCTTTGTGAGCAGTTTGGTGCTGAGGCAGGGGAATGGTTAAGAAAAGATCAAGGAGAAGATTTACAACTGGATTTTGCTCTTTATAATGACATAATAACAAATTGGAAGCAAAGAAAACCGCTGAAACCAGACCATGAGCTTTTTAAGCCAAGAAAACAGTGATCTCAATTAAAAATGAGTGATAACAAGCTTGTGCAAATGTGTCTCTTGCCTAGTGCTTTATCATTTTGGTCATAGAGCCTCCTGTTTTTTATTAGTTTGGTGTTGGGTTTTTTTCTGTCAAATTATGTGTAGATATCCCCTTCCCATGGATTTCGGTTTTTAGAAAAACCTTCCTTTTGCTTTTTTGACAGTTGTGCTTCTCACAGTTGTCTCTTTAAATTTAGGAGAGCCCGCTGCAGTCTGAGGGTGGGTACTTTGCTGTAGTATTGGATGGTCATGGAGATATTTTTGTTCATTAGTTTTTGGATGTCTTGTCTTGATCAGAAGTATGGGCTTACCCTCAGACATATGTTCTGAAAATACAATTCTGAAAACCAAATCAAGAAAATACTCTTGTTCAGGTGAAGAAAAGCATCTGTAGGTTGTTCTCCCTTTTTATGGTTGAGGTATACAAGATAAGTAATGACACATGGGAACTGATGAAATTCTCCCTTTTGGCTGATTTTGTAATTTAACAGTATGTGCACACTGTGAAATATACACTGCACTTTTTCTACACTTTACTCTTCTATATAGATTATATTTCTATTTCAAACCTGGTTTGGTTTTTACTCCAGGTTGTATGTTATCTTGCTTGCTACCAGTAAGCTGCTGGGGCAGGAATAGGAGACAAATGTGGCTTTGAGATGGCTCGGATCTGTAGCCGTGATGGAGTCTATCCAACACCCTGCGTTATAAGAAGCAAAATGTATACAGCACCTGCAGTGTGCAGTAGCCACACAGTAGTCTGGGTTTTGATGACTTAAGCCAAATCACCCTACTCCTTTGCTACTTAAAGCAAGCCTTTGGGATTCTGCTAACTTTGTTCCCAAATGCATGCACTTGAAAGAGCTGCAGGTCTTTTCTCTCTTTAAATGGTGAGTTGTTAATTTATCAACTAAGTCAGTATGTCTGCACAGTCTGTTTGAGCTGGAAATAGATGTTATTCTGCTAGTATTTACAGAGGAACACAGAGACAGTAAGGTTGCTTATAGGAAGACATGAAAAATGTGGAATAAGAATCACCATTGCTACTCTTTGCTCCCAAGGATATGTATGATGAGCTGATGATGATCATTGGATCCAGACGGAGTGACCTGAATCAGAATCTGGCTCTTAAGAGGCAGTATGAACGGGCTTTGCAGGACCTGGCTGACCTGTTAGAAACAGGCCAAGAAAAGATGGCTGGTGACCAGAAAATGATTGTTGCCTCTAAGGAAGAGGTGCGATCGCTACTTGACAAACATAAGGTAAGAAATTGTGACATATTTCAGGACTAATCATGACTGTAAGCTTGTACAGAGAAAATTGCTAGCCTTCTGTTGCTAAAAGTTCAGGAGCTTTTCAGAATGGTGGGCCAGTATTAAATCAAGATATATTAAAACTTACTGTGTTTCAAATTGGAATCAATGAACTGTTCTGACTGAATACTTTCCAAATGCTCTGTTGAAGGTGAACCCAAGTAGATCACATTTTCTTTCTCCTCCTAATAACAAGTTCCTATTCTTGTCCTCTCACGCTACATAGCTATTTCATCTACCACTCCATTTTTTTCCCAATCAAAATTTACATTTGCTAATAGCACCCACAAAATATAACAAGACTTTTCCAGATTTTTTATTAGGCAGAATTTTTCGGTGGTGTATATCTGATTTAAGCTATTTTTGTTTATGAAATGAGAGGTGGGATAGAATTTGCGGGGAAAGGACGACCTCTTTCATTCTTTAAAAAGGCCATTGTCCTTTTTATATAGTGTTGGATTTTGTGAAATGCTGGTAGAGTGAAAATTTTACCTAATTCTATGTCTACAACTACTTGATAGTACTGCTATTGTCTTAAAATTTTGGTTTAGGGGTATTGAATTGAGCAACAATTGCATTTTCTGTTTTCTATTCTCTCTTTATCTTCTCCCTCACACCCAAATTTCTCAGGAATATTTTCAGGGGTTGGAGTCTCACATGATCCTTACAGAAACGCTCTTCAGAAAGATGAGTAGCTTTGAGCTCTTGAAGGAAACTCGGTCACATTCAGAGCTAATGACACAAGCTTCCGCTGTATTAAAGCTGGCTCATAAACGAGGTGTGGAGCTGGAATACATTCTAGAGGTGAGAATTTCTGTTGTCTTTTCTGTACTGCCATTTTGATCAATCACCAGGATATTCTGTAATGTTGATTTCCTGTACGTGGACAGAATTGGTGGATATCTCTCCCTTTTATCATACACACAAGGCGCTGATAGACTACGTGTAATCTTTGCTGTTTAACTGTTGTGTCCCTCAGGAGACACAAGTCATGTTCCTCTAAATTTAAAAGAGCTGCTTAGCTTTAGCTGACAAGGAGAACATGACAGCTTTATCCATGTCTTCTAATAGGTGAGCTTGACACGGAGATTGTGTCTTATTATAGGTGCACCAGACATTTTTACTGTTATTTATGTACATTCACAACCATGCAGCTATAGGATTTCACTTTGAGAAAGTGAGTAATGAAAATTCTAGATACCCAGATCAGTATTTACCATATACGTGGATAATTTGTGCTTGCAGACCTGGATGCGTCTGGATGAAGATTACCAGGAACTTACTAAACAGCTGGAATCTGTTGAAGGTAGCATCCCCACTGTTGGTTTGGTGGAAGAGACGGAGGACAGGCTTACAGACCGGATTGCACTTTTTCAGGTTGGTACTTTTTAGACATTATTTATGGAAAAGTTGGATGAAAGGGAGCTCTGAAAGTCAACTAGTCCAGCCTCCCACTTGAAGCAGGACAGTTGCCATGGGCTGGATCAGCCATAATGTTGGGAACCTCAAAAGATGGAGATCCCACAGCTGAGCTGGGGACCAATTGCAGTCCTGCATCGCCTCCTACTGAGAAGGTTTTCTATAATGCTCAATCTAAACCTTGAACTTTCAGCTGGGCACCATTGTCCTTTTTCTGTGATGTGGCACTACTGAGGAGCATTTGCCTCTATAATCTTTTTGATTCTACTCCAAATAGTTGTAGGCCTTTGTTAGACTGGCCCTTAGCCTCCTGTTTGTAAATCTAAAGCAAGCACGCTTCCCTCAGCCTCTTTTTAAAGGGCATGTGCTCTAGGTCCCTAAACATCTTAATAACTCTGCACCAGACCCTGACTACTTCCTTCTTCTTGAACTCAGTGGGAGGTGGGGGCAGGGCGGAATCAGATGCACTAGATGTAGCCTCATCAGCATCATGTTGAGGAGGATAATACAATAACTTGTCAGTTGTTCACAGTCCTAATGTAGGCCAGTGCTGTGGCTTGCCTTATTCACGATGTCTTGGTTATGGAAGACACCAGGTTAAATACACTAGCCATTTCCTTCCTAGCCTGTCCTGAGAAACAGGGTTATTCTGCACAAGGCACAGAATTTGCAATTCTGATTGAGCCTCCTAAGGTTTCTGCTGTCTCCAACCTCAAGTTTATCAAAGTGTCTCTGGACTAAATCTGCCATTTTTTTGTGTCACCCACTCTCCCTACATTAGTATCATCCACAAATTTACTGAGAGAGCACTCTCTGTCATCACCCATGCCATTAGTGAAGATGTTGAAGATGTTTGGGCTCAAATACCAACAGTCCCTGGAATACTCTGCCCATTACAGTCTGCCAGCCAGACATCAAGCCTTTGATCACTAGTGTTTGAGACTGGTAATGCAGCCCATTTTCAACCCATGTAACAGTCCATTTATCAGGCCCATGTTCTCTCCATTTCCAGAGGAGGGCCTGGTGGGAGACAGTGTCAAAGGCCATACTGAAGTCAGTCTCATCCACAGAGACGCTAGTTTCATCCTAAAGGTCTGTCGAGTCAGTGAATCTAAGCTAAATATTCCTGATTACCTTTTGGTCTTTTATGTCCTTGAAAGAGGATGTGCTCCATGATCTTTCCAGAGAGCAAGGTGAGGCTGAACAACCTGCAGTTCCCTGAGTTGCCTTCCTCATTCTCAAATGCAACAAGAACTGGTAGTTTAAATATAGTTTTCTACCACATCCTGTTTTTTTCATCTGTGCTGGTCTAGTATTTCGTCTTTATCTCATTATACACCAGACACTTTGGTTGAGTTCTTTTTTTTGTTTCCTTGTTATGCTTTACAGTAATATGTCTGCCAAATTTTTCTTGCAAATTGACTTCTTGTCTACTCTGAATTTGTTATGTATATTGTTCTTTTACTAGACATCTTTTGCTTTTGCAATAGTATGAGGAGAACTTAAGCAATCTATTATGTGTGGGTTTTAATTTGGTTTTGTTTAATGCTCTGCATTGATTGTGTTGGTCCTGACCCTAAATTAGTTTTCCTATTTTGTTTCTCTTGTCAGTTACATATATTAGGTTATTCAAATCCAGATCTTAAGACTCTGCTATGGCATAATTTTTAATACTCTTTTTTCCTCTCCCTGTGGCCATGTTTAGGTTAAAAATCCATCATAATTAATTCATGGCTATCTTGGAATTTTTATGCTGCTCTCTAGGAGTTATACATTTATTTGTGTGTATATGTTATATGTAAGTACACACACAGAGACACATGTATATAAATATAAAAATTCTGTTAAGTTATTAGAGCTCTATTTATGTGAAAGAGAAAATAAAAAGAGTGGTAGAAAGTTTATGTACTTGCCACGACACTGGTAGTTTTGTATCCTTTATCTTGAGATTAGTTTCAGCATAACTGAAAAATGGGAATGCATGTACATTTTTTTCTCAATCTTCGTCAAATATACAGATGATTTAAAAAGCTGTACTATTTGTGTAATGATAGTAGAATTTGGTGGGTATATTTGCCCATATATGCAAATTCTTTACCCATCTACAAGTCACCATTTAAATGAAATCTGTCTCTGCTCCCAGTTGGATTCAGGGTAAGAGTATTAACAGCCTTTCCTTTTTCAGTACCCTTTTTGCTTTCTTTTGCTATAACAATTGGCTTCTGTGTTCAGGGATTTGGATGGGTTGGGGGTGATCTCCTCTTTTCTAGCCATGGACAGCAGGAGGGTAGATCAGTAAAAAAGAGGTTAGATGACCGGGGAGCTGAAGGTAGGCATTGAAAGGGCTGAAGTGTGGCCACTGTTAATAACTTGATAGTGGACACCTTTAACTTTCATTGCAGTAGAGTTTTCAGCAGATAGTAGATTAAGTTCTGACATTTTAATCAATTTCCCTCAGAAATGGCATTGCCCTACAAAGATTCTTTTGCAATTATTCTTTTCAAATGTAAAATATCTACACCAAGGAGGAGTTTGTCATAAGGGGGTGTCAATAAACATATTAAAGTGAGGGGGTTTGTGGCAGCACCTTCAGATTTTGAGCAGGTTACCTGCATGATGGTTCTCAGGGATTTCTAGAGCTGAAGCAGAGAGAAAAAATGTGATGTGCTATGGTCACATTCGATAAGCTACAAAATGCAATAAAATAAATGTTTAGAAAGTGTGGTAGCAGAGACCTGCAGAGCTATCTAACAGTCTTCTCTGTCATTACAGCATTTGAGATCTAACCTGACTGAATACCAACCTAAGTTATACCAAGTGCTAGATGATGGGAAAAGGCTCCTTTTTTCTGTTAGCTGCTCAGATCTCGAAAGTCAACTGAACCAACTAGGAGAACACTGGTTAAGTAACTCCAGCAAGGTTACCAAGGAGCTTCACAGACTGGAGACAATACTGAAGCACTGGACAAGGTAATGCTGTTGTACTGGACAGTATAAACTTGTTCACCTGTTCTGTTCAGGTCAAAGTCATTCTTAACCCAAAACTAATAGATTTGACATTTAAAAGAAAGTACTTTGACATGTATGTGATAGTTTGACTACTCTACAATATCCTACTTCTGTTCCATACAAGTGCTATCACACTCTCACATTTGCCATAAAACATGGGCCAGATAAAGCTGGTGGGAAGAAGTCAGAAGATATCTTTTTTAGTAGCCCCATATCTATACAGGTTGATGAGAAAGGGTGTGGGCTTTGCTAGGTAGCATGAATAGCCTCAGCATGTTCTGGGAAGTGATAGGACAAGAGGTAATGGGCACAAACTTGAACATAGGAAGTTCCATTTTAACATGAGGAGGAACTTCTTTACTTTGAGGGTAGTGGAGCACTGGAACAGGCTGCCCAGAGAGGTTGTGGAGTCTCCCACTCTGGAGACATTCAAAACCCGCCTGGACGCGGTCCTGTGCAACCTGTTGTAGGTGACCCGGCTCTGGCGGGGGGCTTGGACTAGATGATCTCCAGAGGTCCCTTCCAACCCTGACCATTCTGTGATTCTATGGTAGAGGCATTGTCACTGCTGGGTTCTTGTGGGTCTGTGTCATTGCATACATGAAAGGGAGCTTTTAGCTGCCTTTAGTTATGTTCATATGCTAGTTTTGAAATCAATTCCCTTAGCTTTGTCTGTTATTCACGGCTTGTTGGCTCACTAGTCTTTCAAGAGATATATAAAGGGATTGTATGTATAAAGATTATGTGGAGACACTCATTCTGACATCTCGTTAGTTGCTTGGCATATGAAATGATATGGAGATAGTTTCTGAAAAAAAACCCCACCATTAGATTTCTGCTCTGACATAGCTTGTAGTACACCTTTTGGAAGACAGCCTTCTAATGGAAAGCAAAAATGTGTTTGTGTGTGGGGTGGGATGCTGTCGCAGCTTGCCCAAACAAATTGATAACCTAGTTACTCATCCGTCATTAAACCTAGTTTTTCCTAAAAGGCAAAAAGAAGGCACTGTTAGGAATTGTGGGTGTAATGGCTAAAATAAGAGCTTCCTGATACCATTCCTGTCTTCAAAATTAAACAATATTTTTTTTCCTGAAAGTAATAAAATAAAGAAATTATTTTTATTTTAGATCTGGCATACAGTATCTTCTTCTAACATGTAGAGGAGAGACTGCTTGGTTGGAGGCAAGAAGTGGCGATGACTGCTTTATTTTTCTTTAAACATCTTTACAGATATCAGAGTGAATCAAGTGAACTGACACATTGGTTACAGTCTGCAAAGGAGCGACTTGAGTTTTGGAGCCAGCAGTCTTTGACAGTTCCTCAGGAACTGGAAACAGTCCGAGACCACTTGAACTCCTTTTTGGTAAGTCATTCATGGACCTTGGACACTTTTTTTCTCTCCAATTACAAATAAACACTTGAGCAGTCCTACGGTTATACTTTTTCTCATCACTGAAGTAGTGAGTATGCAAAAAAAAAAAAAAATAATCTGCTTCTGTAGGTGAGCTGTCCTTCAAAAAACTGGTGTGTTTGCACATTCAGCAATCCTTGCTATATGCAATGATTGTAAAGTCTGATGATTCTGAAAAAAGAAAATGGTTTTATGACTGAAAATGATTTTTGTTCTCACTTGGTCTGAAGTATAGCTGGTAAACACTAATAGAAAGTACCTATTTTTAAAGGGAAGGGAGGATATTCTTAGCTTTCTGAGGTAAAGCTTTAAGTACAGTAAACAAGCAGTTGATTATTTTGACAAAAATGATTCTGCTTACAGGAGTTTTCAAAAGAGGTGGAAGCTAAATCATCACAGAAATCTTCTGTCCTGAGTACTGGGAACCAGCTCCTCAGGCTGAAGAAGGTGGATACAGCAGCATTGCGTGCGGGATTGTCCCACATTGACAGTCAGTGGACAGAGCTGCTCACACAAATCCCAGCAGTACAAGAGAAATTGCACCAGGTAAGGAAGGCCAGTTGTGGCCTTTGATATTCCAGAAAATTAGACCATACAGTTGGCACAGCCTTTGAGAGATAGTTCTTTCCTTCTTCCATTTATCCATGTGAGGCAAGATAGGAACAATGTTACTCCTATTTTAATTTGGGACAGCTTACACTCATGTCCAAATCCTGTCCACCCAGACTGTCTAACACCATTAATTGGTGTTAATGTCAAACTTTCACAGTTACATTTGTTAAATTTTAATCAAAGAACAGATGACGTTTTTTCAACATGTTGGTATGCTTTTTGAAAAATGGGAGTTCACATCCTTGTGCCCTGTCGGATTTGAATGGTGGTTTTGTTCAAATTGAATAGACTGGGTTCAAGTCTGTGCAAGACAAAATAAATCTGAAAACATTGGACAATGTTCCTGCTAGTGTACGTAGGAGCAGGAGAGTTTTGGTTATGTAGTTTTGTTTTTTTAATGCTATAATACTGAAGTTAAAGAATTATACTAGTCTAAAAGTTGGCTTAGTATTTAGTTACTAGGAGGTTATCAGTCTAAGCAGTTTCTTCGGTTTATAATTTGGAATGCTTTCAGAGATAGTAGTATCATTGTGATTTAGGGCGAGAGAGGAATGGTAAAAAGTGTACCTAAGTCTATTGTATTAAACAAAATAATGACATTACAGTAGTTTCCCGAACTGTCTTGTAATGCAAAATATGTCTACCTGAAAAAGTCATAGAACACATTTCTGAATAACTAAATGTAAGCAAGCGCTACTGTATCATATGTTGAAAGTGAGTCTTTTAAGAAAAAAACAGGTACTATTCAAAATCAGCCCAATAAAAATCACCATCACAAATTGTATAAAATTATTTTCCGTGGGTCTGTTCATTAGGGATTTACAAGGACAGGAAAAGCTTGGCTTAAAGTTGGTCTTCTAGATAAGCCCAATACAAAATCATGGAATTAGAATGCAGAACCTTTTGGAAGTCAGAAATGGAATCTTTGATTTTGTCCAGTTTCCTTGTACAATGAAGAATGGAAATAAGAAGCCTTTAATATAATATTTTCTTATTAGGATGCATGCAATTATACAATAGATCTCCTATTAAAAGCTTTTTTTTTTTTTTTTTTGCTTGTTTTTTTTGTAAACTTCAGGGATATGTTAGGGATGTAGAATAACATGATAGTAAGAGCAGACAAAGGAAATGAGCTATGGTAATGCAAAGCAAGGAATTCTTATGCATTTTCTTCACAACATGTGTTTTAAGTCTGTTATCTTTACAGCTCCAGATGGACAAAATTCCTTCTCGCCATGCTATCACTGAAGTTATGAGCTGGATTTCCCTGATGGAAAATGTCATTCAGCAAGATGAAGAGAATATAAAAAATGTAGTAGGACAGAAAGTCATTCAGGATTATGTCAAGAAGTACAAGGTACTGAGTGGAAATGCTACTAATTTCCCTTTTGAATTATCCCCGTTGAATATGTATACACATGCAAAATGTAAGTGATTTAAGGGGAAAAAAAAAAACAAAAACAAAACGTACATTGTGGATTGGTTAAAATTGTACACAAGTTAGAATTGGGTAATATTTGATATTGTGGAAAAGAATCCAAAATTACTTTTCCTCTCCTGTTTAGCTATGGCAGGAATATAATTTTTAGTATACTTACCTTAATTTCCAGGTAAATCCAAAGTAACATGCACATGATTAAACCTTATTAGATCTGTCTTTCACCCGAAACCACAAAACCCTTTGCAAATTACTTAAGCTGTTTTATGAATTCTCTGCATAATATCACCTTCTCCTCAAAGCGTATCCTGTTCTTGAATGGAAGGTGGCCAGTGGTTTGCAGATCAAGATAATTTTGATCAATATCTGAAGCAAAAATGAAAGATACTATATCTTGAGATAACTATTCAGGAGTATAGATACAACACAATTTTACTTTTTAACTAGATCAGTAGGACTCTTGTAATAGATCTGCACACAGTGACTTTCTTCTCAATGTCAGATATGTTTCACTAGTCTCCTGAAAAATCACTTTACTTCTTGGCTGTTCTTGTTTATATGTAAGAATGTTTTCCATCCTATCTGGTTTTGTATTAAAAATCTTGAGACTAGATAAAGTGAAAAAAAGATCTACCCAGGTTTTTTTAGATCTGATCCTTGAGACCAATATCAAGCAAGAACATTCAGGACTCTCCAGAGCATGGGGAGGCAGAGGTAGGGGGGAAGGATGATTCTTTATTCCAAAGGCACTGTATTGCTGGTTTATTTCTCTATTGAGGAAAATCTAACAATGTTTCTAATTTCTGTTTAATTGCTAAAAAACCTTTTAGCTAAATTGTGGTAAAGCTGTAATTTGTGAACGCTTTTCCTCTTTTGCAGTAAGGTAAGAAATTATCGTATTTATGGTTTGGGTTTTTTATTCCCTTTTCTACTAGGGTTTCAAGATAGATTTAAATTGCAAACAGTTGACGGTAGACTTTGTGAACCAATCAGTGCTACAAATTAGCAGCCAGGATGTTGAAAGTAAACGTAGCGACAAAACTGATTTTGCAGAACAGCTTGGAGCAATGAACAGACGTTGGCAAATTCTGCAAGGCCTGATAACGGAAAAGGTAAAGAAAAAAAAACTAGCCACTCTGTAGCGAACTTTCAAAATATATAGAGCTGTAAGATAATAATGGTCGGAAGCCTGTACATCCTGTCTGGTTCTGTGGACTTTTATATGTCCAGCTTACTTAAGTAGCCCCTAATTCTTTTCTCTTCTACCATGTCTAGTACCTCTGTAAGCCACAATTTGCTAATTGGCGTGAAGACCTGCCAGGCATGAGAGGAGACCTTGTCAGTAATATCAGAGCAAAGAAGGCACTGTGTATCTCAGACTATTCTGTGGTTTCCCATTAGTTGCTGATGTATTGGTGAAGAGTAACAGAAGAGATTCTGTCCCTCACTAGTTAGTTCCAGCCAAGATTTTGCTTTACTAACAATTCTTTCATGGCCAGGTCATGCTTCTGGGCCCATTCTGTGTAATCCAGTTTCTGTGGATTTGTCCTTTTTGTGACTTGAGGAAGTTGTCCTTGAAGATCCATCAGCTTCCTGAACTCCTTTGTCCTTCAGTACAGCTTCCCATGGGATCATGCTTACCTGAGCAAACCAAAGTTGCTATTCTAAGTATCTTTCATCTGCTACTTGCTTTCCTTATTTCACTCACAACTGTCTCATTGTCAAGTGGCCAAGGTTGCTATTGACCATCCCATCCTTAAGCAGTTCCAATTAAGATTACAGCTAATTAAGATGGCTTATTCCCTAGAGTAGAGTTTGTCTGTGAATGCTTTTTACGGCAGTACTGCTGTTTTCAAATCCTGCTTTGCTGGTTTTGGGTTTTTTTTGTTTGTTTTGTTTTGGTTTTGTTTTTTTTTAAGAAGCACTATCTCATTTGCCATTGAATAACATTTGGTTTTGTTTTTTTTTTTTAAGAAGCGCTATCTCATTTGCCATTGAATAACACCTAGAACAATCAGAAAAATCTAAGTGACTTTAAAGCAGTCAGTTCAGAAAGGAGGTAATATAAATCTTCATCTACTTTACATAGTTGTAAGCAAGGAATGTAAAATGTATGTTTGTATGCTTAGTTTTATTTGGGAGGTCCTGAGGTCCTTGATCTCTGAAAAGAACCATAAATATGTTCTGTCAAGTGTTAGCTTCTTTCAGCATGTCATAATATTTTAATATGTTATCTCTGTATAATTATTTTTTGATAAAGCAGGTTTTTTTGTTATGAACTCTTTTAAAAATGGCAGACATATTTCAGTTTGAATGCATAAACTGTTTTTAAATTCTGAAAGCATTGAATTCTGAGAAGGCAGTGGTCAGCATTGGTCCTTACTGATTCATTTGCTTGAGTCAACAATAAATGTAATTCTTTGAGAAAGTATATACTTGTGGCTCCTTGCAGATCCAGCTATTGGAAAGTCTGCAGGAATCCTGGACAGAATATGAAAATAATGTGCAGTGCCTAAAAACCTGGTTTGAAACCCAAGAGAAGAAGCTGAAACAGCAACAGAAAATTGGAGACCAGGCTTCAGTACAGAATGCTTTGAAAGACTGTCAGGTAATGTCCCCTTATAAATAACAATATTCTCTTTCCAACAGTTAGAAACAACAGTAGAGTCCAAGGAGGGTTTAGGCTTTTATTCAAAATGCATTAGGAATCAAATATTGTCAAATATTCAACTATCCAGAGAAGGCAATAGCGCTGGATTCCCTTATGCTTTCAGAAGACTGAAGGAGAGTCATGATTATGATGGGGAAAGACAGGATGAGGCAAAGCTCAGCTATAATGCTCATAAGGTCAGAACCACTTCAGTTTTTCTTGCAAAATTCCTATAAGGACTACAGAGCAGTGAATAGCGTATCACAGTTGACTCTGAACATCTTGCTCAGAATAGCACGTATTTAAGTAGTTAGATGCATGCTTGTGGAGCTGTTAGGCTAGAGTTCAAGTTTATAGGTATATAAGCAAAATAGATTATTTATTTTTTTTTAATTTATAAATAAGACCTCTACATAGTATCAGGCATCAGATAATTTTGGCTCAAAAGTATCTTGTTCTACCAGACGCCAAATAATAAATTTCACTCCAGATCAAATATATAACTAAACTCTTTCAGGACAACTGCATGCCCAAAATCTTGGTGTTCTCATCCCCTTAAAAGGGAGTAAGGAAGCATGTTTATCTTGGTGTGGCTGTCTTTCCTGCATGCATTAAATGAATGGGACAAATACGATCTAGCTTTTAGGTCATCAGAAACAGAACAGCTGGAAGTCTATTCAAACGAAATGCGTAAGAGAATTTAATCAATATTCACCAGTGTATTAAACCAGTCTTTTTTTCTGTGAAGGCAAATAGTTGTTTAGGCCAGATATGTTAGGATTCAATTTTTTTTTCCCCAAAGTCCTTGACCTAAGTTTGCAAACTGGTTGCAGTGCTTCATTTCAATTCCGGTAGCTTTATGGTCTCAGCACAATAAGCCCATATGACTGAAGCAAGGGTAATTTAGCATAGCCTGACATAATTGGCAGGCTGTACTTGGCTGGAGTTCAAAGCTGAATCTGATTTATCACCTTTATGGTTCCTTTTGGTCAGGGAATTTAGCAAATACACTTGGGGGAGTCAGTTATGAATGGCAAGACTTTGATCAGCAGAAAAACAATTTGTTTAAGAAATAATTGTATCAGGCACTCCCAGGTATCAGGTTCAACTAGCACAAAAGCTGCAGTTTATTTATTAACTGGTTTTAGTTGCTGCCTGGTGTCATATTAATAAGTGAAGGCAAGCTTTTCCCATCACAGACCATAAACAGTAATGTGTCTTTAATTCCATTATAAGTTTAAAATGATGAATAAGAAACCCTTTTTCACAGAGAACCAGAAATATTTGCTATTCTTGGTATTTAAAATATTTGCCTATTTTCATTCTGAATTTTGGAGCGATCTTGTACAAACTTATATGCCTTTTTTAGGGTTAAAATCCACTTTTTGTACATAGTAAATTTGACTTTACAGCTTGGAAGTGTTTGCTTTTGTGTCAGCTGGTAAAAAAAAAAAAAAAAAAAAAAAAGATTTATTACTCCAAGGCTGTAGTCTGAAACATGGTCATGGCTAGAAGTTTGAAGGAATGTGAAATAATGGAGAAGAAAAGGCTGAGAATAAACAGTACAGCAAAAATGCTCCCAAAAAATCCTCTCACATATATGTATAGAGATAAAAGTGTGTTGTATGTGTGTAGGGATAAATTCTGTTAATAGCAAACATTTGCAAGACTGGGCAGATTTTGGTTCTAAAATACTCTACCCACTGTCTAAAATGTAAAGTCTGTTAAGGCAATGGTTCACTTGTTACTGTTTTTTTTTTTATTCTTAGGGAGAGTAATTTAATGAATGACACGGGCTTTCAATTTGCCCAGAGTTTTGCTGTGTTGTTTTCTTTCCCTGATGATCCATCTCTGTCAGTAAGGAAAGGCTTGCAGAAAATTAAAATATAAGCTGAGATCACAAGATGTACTACTTAATGTAGAGGCATCCCAAGATTGCTCTCGCCTCACAGTCTGCTTTCCATACCACATTGAATACTTTACCTCCAGACAGGTAAACACAAATTGTCCTGGCCTTAAGCCTACCAGCCATACTTCCCCCTCTGCTCAGACTACATGTTGATCCTACCTGAAGCTACACAGCTTCCGTATGAGTCAGAGCACTGCAGGACTTTCTTGGATCTCCCTGCGCCATGCCATGAAATTATATAGGTATTTTCCAGGCTAGGAATGAGCTTATGAGAGTGTGCTGTATGACTCACAGTTGCTCACTGAGTCTTCTTGTTTTCCCTCCTTCATTCTGTAACTTCATTCTCATGCTGTTGTGGCATGAGGAAGATCACAGGCTCTGTGACTAGTGAATGTTACACACAAAAGCGTCTGCACTTCACTTATTGATAAAACCGACAAACTTTGAATCAGCATTTCCGTGACCAACCTAGGGTCATCTTAAATCGACAACAGTCAGCACTTGCCTGAAGTAGCAAAACAAGCCCATAACAAGTTCTCATGGCCTTAGTGCTTATGTACTCAGCCCTGTTTTCTTCACTTGTTTTCACACCAACTGTTCATTTTCTTCCCATTTTCTTGGGTTAGTGTGTGGGAACACTGAGTAGAGCAAAACACTATCGAGCTCATTAATGCTTCCCAACGGCATGCAGCCTTGAGGAGGCAATAAGGGTGTGTGGGAACACTGAGTAGAGCAAAAAATCGAGCTCATTAATGCTTCCCAATGGCATGCAGCCTTGAGGAGGCAATAAGAAAAATTCCTGCAGTCTGTTGCTTTTTGAAATTGGCTGGAATCCAGTGAACTTGTCATCTAGGGAAAGGCTCACTGTCCTCGGGCAAGGGGCTTTGCTGGGACCTGTCAGGGACCCACTTCATGTGGGGAGGCAAGGCAATTTGACATCTTTCCCAAAAAAAACAGCACTATTTTTTCCCTTTTCTTTTTTTTTTTTTTTTTTTTTTTTTTTTTCCAGAGGCTTGAGGCAGCTTTGGACTAATTATAAAGCCCTCTCAGTGTTCTAGGACAAACTAAGACACACAATGATTTTCCCACGTATTCAAACTACTGTCCTATTTTTAATGAGTTTTGGACTCTTACACGAGAGCAGAAGATTACACAGAAGTTTAACGTAGAGGACATGCTTTTATTTAATTTAAAGACAAACAACTATGCTTTAAAGGAAAGATAAAATGCTAAATAAAATTGCAGATGTCTTATGATTCTCTGGAGAATAAAAAGCCAAAGTATGCAAGTGTGACTTTCCTGTTTTTTAAACTAAGGAGCCTATGGACATCTTTTCTATAATCTCAAGGCATTCTCTATCCAATTAAACAAACAAAAAAAAATACTCAGGAATCTTCTTTTTCTTTTTCAGGAATTAGAAGAATCAATAAGAACAAAGGAAAAAGAAGTAGAAAATGTAGAACAGAGTGGTCTTTCTTTGATACAGAACAAGAAGGAAGAAGTCTCTTCTGTTGTTATGAATACATTGCAAGAAATTAACCGTTCCTGGGCCAATTTGGATCACATGGTAAAAGAATCATCAAGGGGCAAATTATAGCTCCAGGAACAGGGCATGGAGAAGAGGGAGAATTAGCAGTTTGCTACTAGTGAATTTCTTCTGTATCTTAGGGGAAGAGATTCTGAACTGTGTCCGTTTCCATCCACCCACAAGTTTGTGTGTACACTCCACATAAAATGGGTATAATATTTCCTATTTCAAGAATGCTTTTAATTTTTGTAATTGAAGCTTTTTAGGTGCTTCCTAATATTTAGCGGAAAGTACCAAATGATCTGTAAGGAACTACCTTTCCAAGCACACAGGTCCCGCGGAATAAGGAAGAGATCAGCAATAATTGTCATCATCCAAAGCTCGATAACATCAGTCCACCTTCTCAGGAGGAATGCGGTGTGTTAGTGCTAGCCTCTCTGCTGACTTTCTGCGACTGACTTGCCTGCCTTAGGGATACGCGTTTCACAGTCTTAGGCAATTTTTCTTGACCAAAGTAGAATGGACTTGATACCTTCTCAGTCCCTGCCATTCTAGCTTTGTAAAATCAAGCAGAACTTTGTGCTGTACCCAGTGTAAACCCAGCTGATTGTTGTGCAAATTCTTCATTCTCCAACAAGTTTAAGATTAGGCATGTAGAACAAGTAGTATCTGAGATCAAAAGGAAGGAAATAATTTAAACAAAACCAAATATCTTTAATGCTTTTCATTTACCTTTTTTTTTCCTTCCTCCTAGGTTAGCCAACTGAAGATATTGTTGCAATCTGTTCTTGATCAGTGGAGCATTTACAAAGTGGCTTATGAAGAACTGAATAGTTACCTGACTGAAGCCAGATACTCTTTGTCCCGTTTTTATCTTCTCACTGGTTCTTTGGAAGCTGTGAAAGTCCAAGTTGATAAACTTCAGGTGAAAAGAAAACCATGCCCCTTGATATACTAAGGATGGATTTAAGGATTAATTTTTGTCCTCATTGCATGGATGCAGACAACTATATGTTTTGGTTCATAAGAAATGGAAGTACAGACATACTGGCACTCTAAAATCCCATGACATTAAAAGAACACATTATCAAATAACCATTGATTTTTTTCTTCTTGCAGAAAAATGGTGATAGTTGTTTTCTTTTAAATTTTTCATGCTGTTCTTAAAATTTTTAGCCATACTGTCATATCGTTATAAGTTTTTAAATCCTGCTGGTGACCATTTAAAAACTAAATTTTTTCACTATGCTTTGTCAGGCTTCTGAGCTACTGGTACACGTTGAGATCACATTTTAAACCTCCCCCTGCCACCCTCTCCCTTAACCCTGTGGTTGCAGTAGAGTGAAGGTCAAAGCAAACGATGTTCCAAAATTTGATATACTCACATGTTCAAGTGGATTTCCACTGCAAGAAAAGTATAAAATACAATGATATTCCTGTGATAAAATTATAAAATAATATTAATTGAAATAAATTAATTTAGATATTTAAATTAGAAGTATTAAAAGTATTGTTCTGTTACATAGAATAACCTTTTCTTTTAAAGAAAGTTGTTGTCTTTGGAATCAAAAATAATTATGCAAACATTTCCAAATGCTTAAAGTAACGAGAACTTGCGTTGTTAGTATTTGCCCACAAACTTAATTTTACATTATCATTTCAATATTTTGTGTGATTTGAAGTCCACGCAGATATAAAGCCAAATGCCGTAAGCATGAACAGCACTTTTCAAACCAAGATTTCAATAGCATCCATTTATGCAATTTACAGCCACTCTTCTATGTTTTAATTTTTTATGTGTCAGAGAGGAGTCAGTAAAACAATAGGTCGAGAAAATTACTTTTTTTGCTTACTAAGATTTTGATTATAGTGTTTAATCAGGTTGAGATTTGCTGGGCTGTTCAAACTGTGGTAATATGCATAAAAATATTTAAGGTTAAAAAACAAGGAGCACTTTCCCTGTCAGCAGTACTTCAGACTGATAAATGAAAGAGCAAGAACTGTATTTTCAGAAAAAAGGGTTTTTTTGTGCTGTTACTTTTTTCATCTTGTTCTAAACAGGAAAATGTTATTTAATTTCCATCAGTTAAGTTGCAATTTCTGAAGTAGTCCATGCACTTATTTGTTCTGTGCAAGAGTATTTGTTAGGAATAATTTCTTTTACAAGATTTTTAAATTTTGAGAAAATATTGGGTTAATATTTACTTTTTGTGACACATTGATATTGCATCAAATTAATCTAACAACAGTCTTTATATTAAACAACCTTCTATTTAGATCAAAGCTGCATGAAATCAAGTTTTGCATTTGTAACCTGTATGATGTTATTCATACATACTATTTTGAAATGTTTCTACATCATGCAATTGTAATACTTCATGTATCTTTTTTTTTTATGATTTTATCTGTTTCAGAGCCTGCAAGATGAACTGGAAAAGCAAGAAAATACCTTACAGAAATTTGGTTCTGTGACCAATGAATTACTGAAGGAATGTCACCCACCAGTGACTGAAACACTTACCAACACTTTGAAAGACATGAATATGAGGTAGAAAATGTCTGTGTGTTGGACTTTACTTTCAGTGGTAAATTTGCCGTTATCTATTGACTCAGTTTTCCATCATTTTTATTTTTGTTATATTTCATTATTCCATGCATGGCTGCCAACCGAGGTTCACAAATGCCATGCTGGAAAATAATATTGCACTTAAAATTTGAGAATCCTGTCTGAAAAGTTTGTTTGTTATGCGTGCACCAGGTTCCCCAGATTTCAGGTTGCTATTTCTAGTTGAAGGAAGGGCACAACAGGCAAGAAGGTCTAAGCCTTCACCAGCAGGTTGGCAAACAGCTTCCCCAACTTTGAATCCAGGCCATAACGAGTGTAAGGGTTTACTCAGAGAGGTTGCAGAAAGGCAGGATCCAAAAGTAAAAACTAATTTGGTGGAAAGTTGGGGGTTTTTTTTTGAAAACACAATCATGCCAAATTTATTTTTGTCTGTTGTCCATCCTGTCCTAGAATCTGGAAGTGGAGGGAGGTGTTATTCACTCTATTTCAAAAAAAAACGAACTGTAGGATTTAAGTTTCAGTGATAACTGACAGAATTTTCACTTCACCATTTTTATTATATAATAATAATTGAAAAATATTGTGCTTTCCTTTAGTAAGGAAATAATGAAGCAATTTGATAAATACCAGGACATTTGAGAACATACGCATTTCTGGTTGCCGTCAAAGCCAAGAATTCAAAGGCAGATTAGGTATTTAAATGAATAATAAAAATATAAAGAGTTTTAATTGGTCTGAGATTATTTTAGAAGGGAGTTACATAGCACTTTGTGACTTTAAATATTCTGTCAGGGTTTGGGAGGAAATTGCAGCAGCAGAAATAGTTTCTTGTTTACACCTGTTTTGGGCCTCTTAGATCCTTGCAGGAATCTGGAACTAGCAGTTCATGGTCAGTCATGGATGCTCTGTGCAGTGAACAGAAGTGTGCTGAGTGGAAATAGCGGGAGGTTCACTTCAAAAAGTGCACTCCAGCTCTGACCTCAAGCATTAATATACAGCATCCAAGATGTAGCGCACATCAGAGCGGCTGTGACAGGTCAGAACAGCCTGTCAGCATATTTCTTGGATTCCTTTTTTTCTCGCCCCCCCAAATGTCTGGATCTTGATTACCAAATTTCTTAAAAGCCAAAAGACCATGGGAAACAGCAGAGAGGAAGAGGGGAAGGGATAGTTCTTGTGGATTCCCAGTCTTCAGTCATTCATCCAATCTCTTCACCAGGTGGAACAACCTTCTGCAGGAGATTGCAGAGCGGCTGCGTGCGAGTAAGGGCCTCCTACAGCTGTGGCAGAGGTACAAGGACTGTTACCAGCAGTGCTCTTCCACAGTCCGTCAGCGGGAAGACCAGACCAATGAACTCCTGAAGACTGCCACCAGCAAAGACATTGCTGATGATGAAGTTACTACTTGGATTCAGGACTGCAATGTATGTTCAGTTAAGCTTTGCCATTTTTCACAGCCCTGTGAGCTAAAAATCACAAGAGGCTCTCCGTTACTAAATTCTATACTTGATGCATTGGAAACTTGCATTCAAACACATTTCTTTTTACTGATGAACCTCAGGCACAGGAGAGACAGCTTTACATCTGCTACCCAAATATCACTAGTTTCTCAGACCCCATTACTTGTAGTGGTGTTTCAGAAGCTTGTATCTGAAGCCATCTCTCAGGGGAAGGTGGATAAATTATATCATTTGATTCAGGCTTAAGTCCCTGCTTATCAAAGGCATTCTTGCTTAGGAAAATATCTCTACCAAATCTATTGAGTTCCTTATAATAGAAAGAAACACAAGATCCTTTGACTGTATTCCCACCAATCAAGGCTGTTCAGTTTTTCTGAATGAAAAGAGACTGTGTATGCTCTGGGGATGTCTTTATCCTTCCTTATGGAAGGACACCATTCAATCTGGAACCCTGAGATTCTTCCTTTTTCAAGACTGTATCTCAAGGCAGCAGAATAGTTTATTTCCTATCTGTGGTTACGTTTTGGTTCTTTTGAGTTTAAGTTAATGTTAAGGGTCATTAAGAAAAAAAACAAAACTTAAAATGTTAATTTTCTTAGTGTAAGCAAAACCATTGCAAGAAGAAAAATGAACACATTAATGAGCTCTTCGAGCATTTGCTGCCATAGTCATCTGGACTGGCAGTTCAAATTGCTTAGTTCAAATAATTTCTTTATTTCCCAGTGTCCCATTCTTTAGCAATTATGTTAGGCCTTCTACAGAAGTTATTTTTTCATCCCCCCTGGTAATTCATAGTGGGGGAAAAGGGGAGGTCTAGTAAGACCTGAATCGACTCACATGGAGGGCTGCCACTGCTTAGGACCAACATTTCAGTGGATTCAAAAGGTTTTTCAGTAAGTATTGCCTCATCAGTAACTCAGACTTGTTCAAAGGTAGCTGAACAGTCCATTGTTTCTGTTCCTCTGTTTACAAGTACCTATTTTTTTTATTCTGGCCATCATTTCCTTTTCATACAGAGTGTGAATGGACACTTTGGCATTGAAATACAGTAGTAAACACAAGTTTTTCACATAGTGATGAAGTTTGGTCATCTCATTTGTCCTTTAAATCGGGGAGGGGGACATCAGCAGAGTATAAGGTTTTCATATCTTTATGCAATGTGTTGCCACAGGATATACTCATGGATTTGAAGACAGCGCAGGAGTCACTGGTTGTTCTTCAAGAACTGGGAGAGGAGCTAAAAAGCCAGGTGGAAGCTTCAGCAGCAGCAGCTATACAGTCTGATCATCTTTCTCTGAACCAGAGTCTGTCAACCCTAGAACAGTCTCTCCGCAAGCAACAGGCTGTACTTCAGGTATGGAGAGTGTTTTCAGTCCTTGAACCTGATCATCCTGGGGTACCTAAAAACATAAATTAGCTAAAACTGCCTGGGAAAAGAGGATGGCGTTAACCCGTTCATCAACATTTCCTAGACTTGCTTGAAAGCCAAAGCTGAAAGTAGACAATATTCTCATGTCCAGCATAAAGACCTTATAAGAAAGTCCAAATTCTGGGAAAAGGATAGCAAACCTTATGGAGGAAAGTGTCTATCCAGAATGCCAAGGGTACCATGCTTTCTGCAGACAGCAATAGTTCTAACAGCTGAATCCACAGCTACTGCTCCCCTGAAAGCAACCTCTCTTCCCAGCTAGTTCTTCAGCAGTAAAACAAATGAGAGATTCTGAATAATCGTGTAGAATTGATTTTTACAGTTCCTATTAATACCAGTAACCAGACTGATACCTACCATTTGTGTCAAAGCCCGTTCAGTAGATGTTGCTAATTGCTTATGTCACAAGGGACTAAAGAGCAAAAGAGGAGTGGCAGAATATAGGAAAGTATACAGGTGAGAAAGCAACAAAGGTAGTGGCTTCAGTTTGGGTGACAAGAGGATTTACCCAAGAAACCCGGCATTGTCTAGAATGTGCTTATAACATCGCTATGCTGTGAGGAAAAAAAAACATAAGAGAAATTTTTTGTTTCAAATTGCATTAATAGCAACTAGTGGTTCTCTTTGCTGACACTAAATTAAGCAGAGGAGTTAGTTTCACAAAAGGAGGTTAGAGAAGGTTATCTATTTCAAGGCAAGGAGATCTTTATGTACTTTGCTGAAGTTGTGCCTTTTGTGATCAAAAATCCACTGTTTTAACCTAAAAAAAAAAAACAAAAAAAACAATTCCACAGTCTGCAAGCAAAGCAGCAGTTACAGTTGCTCCTAGCCTTATATAGCTGTTTGCAAATCTATAATGAGAATAACCAGGAGTGTAATGTCAATGTGGATGCTATGTGGCCAGCGTTCTTAAACTGTGGGTCCTTTTCTGTTCAAGGCTGGAGTGCTGGACTATCAAACTTTTGCCAAGAACCTTCAAGTCCTTGAAGCCTGGATAACAGAAGCAGAAGAAATATTGAAAGGACAGGATCCCAGTCACTCATCTGATCTCTCAGCAATACAGAGTAGAATGGAGGAACTCAAGGTGGCTAATAAACACAGAAAATGTTGATTTTTTTTTATTTTTTTTTTCTGTTAGCCTGATTGTTTCTAGGACAGGGTATGCACAAATATCATACACATATTCTATACATATTTAAGGTCACACATGCAGAGTGTAAGACTGAGAACTTAGAAGTTTGATGGCAGTCGAGGAGTGACCATCCATGTTACTTTGCCCCTGAGTAAAGAAGAAAAGGACACGCAAACTGTTTAGGATAAAATTAGTACCAAATCTAAATGGAAAAGGAAATTTTAGCAGTTTTTGAAGATTTCCTTCATCTTGTTTTCTCTTGATTTTTTTTTCAATTTATGCAATTCCTGTCTCAGTGGTATTTAGTTTAGGGATGAAGTTGTCTATTTTTTTTCAGTATCTTGATATCTATATATTAAAGAAACATTCATACTGTATCGTGTGATCTTCATTTGAGCTCTTTTGCTCGTTCTTTTTGTGGAGGTTTTTTTTACCCCTTTTCTTCTTTCAGAGGCCCTCAAAGGAAGTTGATGAACTTTGTCATCTAGGCTGTTTTTGTCATTTTAAAAATGTTGATTTTTTTTTACAGGATTCCATTATTTTTCTATCAGGATTAACTATACACATAGTTGCACTTTGGGCATGCTAAAACCGAGGACATTTTCCTAATGTAGTGAACTGAGTGTTTCTGTAATGCAAAACGGAAAACTAAAAAGTTGAGTAAGTTCAATGGGAATTTGCTAGCCTAGCATTCACGCTAAGAAACAAGGAAAAAGGCTCAGATTTTTGACAATATCGGCATATGGCTTCAAACACTAGCCTACTTTTGCGGCTCTGAGTGGGAAATCCCCAATTCAACAAAACGCTTCAGTGCAATTTGAGTTTACTTCTCTGTGCACATTTAAGCATGAACATAAGTCTTCTCCTGGTCTGGGACCAGAGGCTGAAAACTGGAAATGCAATTTTTCCCTGGCATGGGGATTGCTTGCCACTTGGTGGCAACCAAGACCATTCCAAGTTGAGTGAGTGCTAGTTCATAATTTTACAGTCTATAATAGTGTAATTACTGAACTTCATAGTTGTCGTTTTCGTTGTTTGTTGCAGAATCAGATGTTGAAGTTCAGCAGCATGACCCCAGATTTGGACCGTCTTAATGAGCTGGGTTACAGGCTTCCTCTGAATGATAAAGAAATCAAAAGGATGCAGAACCTGAACAGACATTGGTCTCTGATCTCGTCTCAGACAACAGAGAGATTCAGGTGGGGATAGTTAAAGATTGTTGTATAGTTTTCTTAGATTACAACAGCTAGAAAGTATACCTTTTACAGAATATCGAAAATGTTTCAGATATTTCATTAACCAAAGCTCCTTTTCTTTTGTGTAATTATTTATAAAGAGTGAAGCCAGGAGCTGAGATGTGGGTTTCACTACAAATGAACAGAATTTGAAATGAGGAAGACTGCTACTTTTCAAAGTGTTGACTAGATAAATTGAATGAGGCAGCTGAGTGGGAAAAATCTTACCATTTGATTTGAAATTCTGCTGGAAAAGTTACTGTAAGACCCTTAACACTGTGTGTGAGGAAGAGACTTTACCTGAATCCATCTTTCTGTCTTTCAGTAAGCTGCAGTCTTTCTTGCTGCAGCAGCAGACCTTCTTGGAGAAATGTGAGACTTGGATGGATTTATTAGTTCAGACTGAGAAGAAGCTGGCGGCAGAGATTTCAGGAAACTACCAGAGCCTATTGGAACAACAGAGGGCACATGAGGCAAGTCATCATGTGTATTTATACATAACTACAACACATACTATTTATACATAAATGGAATGCGCATTCTTTTGTGGACTAATATAATAGTATGCCTTGAACTGAATTACATTTGCCTGCACCGTCTGAGGATATCTTAACTTAAAAACAGAAGCGTGCAAATATATCAATAATACCCAGTTTGGGGAGGAGTTGAGTGTCTGTCTGCATTTGTGTATAATGTGTCACTGTGCCTGCGAGTGCTTGCCTCCTACATTTAATCTACTTCAGATTGGTTTGTACCAAGGAGATCAGAGTTTTTATTGGTCTTCCCATAGGACCTAACTATTCTCATGCAATTCGGCACTTTGTCTTCAGTCCAAACTGGAGAAAATCTATGATTGCTACAGTTTACTCTGATTTTGGTTTTTGATATTAAATTGCCAACATATACAGCGTCTGAACAGCATGTTAAAGGAAGACTTTTCTGTCATATACTGAGTTATATACCTCATCATGGGGCCTCCATTTGGTAACATTTCCTTGGAGAACAAACTGATTTGATCTTCGCTGTGTGCTGGAGTAATTTGTCTGTTTGTAACAAATCAAGAGCTAGCCCAGCTTTTGCTGCAGGGAAGAACAGATTCAGAGTTTTTACTAGAGGATGATTCTTCAGTAAAGTCAAGTGATGCACATTTTTTCTCCACCCATATTGTTACTGCCAAGAATTCTGGTAAAGATCAAGTAAGATAAGTCAATTTTCATACCAAAGCTCCCATGCGGCCGCAGTAGTTTCAGTTCCCACAACTTTTTCAGCTGACCTACCCATAGACTAAGGCCAGATTGTAGGGAGAGTCATGTCCTTCCCCCTCCTCTTGCTGTATATCTCACAGCATAGTGTTTGGATGAATGTTTGATAACAGAAAATAATTCACAAATATTTTTGCTTGCTTTAGCATACATTTGCTTTAGCATTTAACTGCTTTTGCTTCACAAATGTCATCCATTTCATTTCCTCTCAGTGCTGCCAGCGTTAACTGGACGGTGTCTTTGTAAGTTGAGACATCTCAGGTCATTGAGATTTGAATGTCCAGAAATCATTACTGTCTAAGTGGATAATTTCCTACTGTTGTTGAGTCCAGTCATAGCTGTAATTTTTTGAAAGGGGTTAATGGCAATCTTCTTGTATCCAATTGTCTTGAGATGTCAGCTTAATTCTCTCTTGAAATCTTGATCTGAGCAGTTAGCTCAGATGACTTACTATAGCAGTCTGTTGAAGCTTTTTTTTATTGCAACTGTAAAGTCATCTGTCAGAATTTAGTGAACTAATATCTGATTTTCTAAATACTGCCATTCATCCTGAGAAAATGTTGTAAATGGCTTTTTTTTTTTTTTTAACCTAAAGCTTTTGGCCATTTTATATAATCTAAATGTATTCAGTACTCAATGTTCTTTGCAGTGCCTCCTGATACTTATGAAGAATTTTCTTCCATTCCTCACAACTGAAAGGGTCAAATCTAAACTTCTTCAGATGAATTTCCAGATTGTTTTGCTTTTTATTTTTGAAGATAATGTGAAAATATTCTGTTTCCACATGCATTCCCAGAATGGATATTGAAGTGCCTCCAGCTCTGTTATCAGCTTTCCAGTGCTGGCTTATAAGTTTGCTGGGGTTTGTTCAAAGAGGACCCCAGCTACTTCAGTGGCCTTATTTAGAAATAACTTCCCACTGAAATTTACAAACTAGCAATGTGGAAGTGATACCTTTTTCAAATATCATGCACTAACACTGGCATCTGCATCAGACAAGTGTTGTAGTCATTCTTGCACAATTCTCCAGATATCCATTTGCAAACCTGGTGCAATGCTCGGGACTCCTGCGCGGTGGGAATGCACTGAGACAAGCATTTGAGAAAGTGCTGGCAGGGGAAGGGGAAGTTCCTTGCCAACTCAATTACTGAAATTTTTCCAGTGTGCTGGTATTGTGCATTCCAACACCTGCCCTCCTTTCCTCCTCCTTTGAATTTCTATTTCTGTGATTCATAGTGATCTACATACGAGAAGAAATTGGAATGGCAAATGGTCCCACATAACAGAGCTTTTTTCTTATGTACAGAGACTATACAGGCAGAGAGCAAGTGGATGTTGACAGAAATGTCTCTCTGCTTTTGGGTAGGGCTTGAATGCCTCCACTCTAAGTAGAGTTCCTCATGCTTGATAAGCTTTTTTCTTTCATCTGTCCTCTTTAAAAAAAAATTAAAATTGTCCTTTTTGAAGGGTTTGGTTTTGTTGGGTTTTGCTGTTGTTTTTTTTCTTAACCAGTTGTGTTCTGTTTAGTCTTAATCTGTCGTCAATGTTGGTAGATGCTGTTGTCTCCTGTCCTTCATCCATGCCCCCTAACTTGACAGAAATAGATGTGACAGGAAGTAAAATTTCTGCCTTCTTGCTCAGCTTTCTGAAATTCTCAGCCCCACAGTTGAGGTTTTGTTAATGAGATAATAGAGCAATTAGTTTCCCTCTCGTCCAGGCTCAGTCATTCATAAGAGCCAAGGTATTCAAACAACACTATCAAATACTTCTGCAAGGAAATTAGATAACACTGTTTCTTTCTGTGGAAAAATTTATGGCCTGGGTAACATTTTCAAAATTAACTCAGAGAGGCAAAATCTCATTTTGAAAAATTAGTCCATCATCTAGAAGTCCTAAACTACATACAATGTGCTTGAGAGATTTATTTGTGCAGGTGCCAGTGAGTATTTTGCTGGCAGTTGCAGATCCAGGGACAGGTACATCACAATCTGAGCTGATGGGAAGCCATATAACAGGGGCGTAATCTTGATTTGGGGAACAGTGGCTCTTAATTCAGGCAAGGGTGAATTTCAACTGCGAACACCATCGTGAACAAAAGAAAAACAAATCTCAAGCTTCATACCAGCATATGTTCTCTTTTAATCTCTCTGAAAACCTTTTGAATATGGAGGGGGTCTAGTCCTGAGCTGATGATGCCTGGGTGTACCTTCATCAACATAAGAATATTCCTAACAACCTTATCTAGAGACATGGTCCATTACTAAAAGAAAAGATGTTTTTAAAAATAAATTCAAGTAGTATATGTTTAAGTCATTTTTGCTTGAGTAGTACTTAGGTAATTTTTTCTTTAGTAATATTTAAGGAATAAGGGAGTTTTAAAAGTATTGTGAAAGTTTATTGTGACTGATGGGGAAAATTGGAAAAATTGGAAGAAGTGGAAAATTGGTTTCTAGCTCCTACACCTGGCTGTCCATTTCTTTTAAAGTTCTATTGGCAGTGTAAAATCGTATTAAAGACTTGGATAACACTATCACACACAATCTGTGCATAAATTCAGTTTAACAAGGCAAAGGGCTATAATATTCTTAAACATGTCAGAAAATAAAAAGTGCCCTTTCTGTCGATGCAATAAATACCCTATATGGATTTTGCTGTAAATTATAGTGTAAGTCACACAATTGTACTCAGCGACATAAAACCTAGCTCCTGTTGATATTCTTTAGCTTTTATAAAAAAACTAATAATAATTACTAGAAGCAGCAAATAACTCTAGCAATGAGATTTTTAATTGTGTTTCTATTTAAGTTCATGACAAAACTCCTATTGAATTAATTTGAAATGAGATTAAATTCAGTTTTACCAATGCATACAGATAGAATTAAAATGTAAGATCTTGTTTTAACATCCTTGTCTCCTGTACAACAGCTATTCCAGGCAGAGATGTTCAGCCGCCAGCAGATTTTGCATTCAATTATCTCTGACGGGCAGCACCTCCTAGAACAAGGACAGGTGGATGACAGGTAGACATTTCTGTGTTTCCGCTGCTGATGATTATGTGAAGTAATACTTAGACTAGTGGGGGACTTCCAAAAAGAGAAGGTAGCAGATGTCAGTGTACAGATCATGCTCTACTGAGGCAGAAGTTGCTATTGCCGTGGTTAAGCCATTAATTAGCCGGTTCTTAAATAAGACAGTGTTCTTTAGGATGCTGTGGGGTATGTGAATGTGTGAATGCATTTGGGAATACAACAGCCTTGAGGCTGCTTCTCTGACAAAGATTTGTCTCGGGTTATCAAGCATGTTACATATTTGTCTGTTTTGATGTACTTTCAAAATGTCACTTTTGCCAAAGGAGCCTGCAGTGGCAGATTTAGTGAGTTACGCTTCATTTGTGCCAGCTGGGGGCTTGCCTCTACCAAGAGGATTCCCTACCACCATTTAAGAACACCTGCAGCCTACATGTGATGGAAGAGGAATTCATTGCTGTCTGAGGTTTTATTTTAAACGCTTGTGATCAACTGAATGAAAATCAGTGAAACACCAGTGGCTTCACACTTGTGCATATGTATTGGCTTTGCTAAGGGTATCGTAGTCCTAATATAAGATGAACTGTTTATTGGGATGTGAGAATTTTCTTAATACTGTGCATATCTTATGCCTGCTTTTGAGCTCAGTAGTAAATCTGGGGGAGAATTGTGAAATCTCTGTGATTTACTTTGAGTTTGGCTAATCCAAGCTGGCAAAGCCTGTGGGTTTTCTTTGTCTATTTTTGGGGAGAAGGTAAAAGAGTTTTGTGTGTTAAAAGTTTGGGTTTTTTAATCGGAGCCCTTTGATTCTCCCAGTACCTGAAGTGTGACGTTCACATCCTCAGTCAGCTATCGTGAGACTTCAGTGCTTTTCTCCTAGTGTTTCATAATTGACAGCCAGAAACCTTCTTTGCTTTCCCTTCAGTTTATTTCACTAAACAAGCAGATCAAAGTATGAAGATTACTATTTATTTTTATTTATTTATCTATTTGTAATAGGGATGAATTTAATCTGAAGCTGACTCTTCTAAGTAATCAATGGCAAGGAGTAATTCGCCGGGCACAACAGAGGAGGGGGATCATTGACAGCCAGATTCACCAGTGGCAACGCTATAGGGAGATGGCAGAGAAGCTGCGCAAGTGGCTGGTGGAAATATCCTGTCAGCCAGTGAGTGGGCTGGGCAGCGTTCCTATCCCATTGCAGCAAGCCAGAGCTCTACTGGATGAAGTGCAGGTATGTCCAGTGTGTTTGAACAAAGAGGGAAAAATCCCCACCTCTTTTACAACCCTCATCATTTAAAACATTCTTAAAAATGTGTTTGATTCAGACTTTCTGCTTTGCTGAAAGCAATGCTGGATGTTAGTTCTTCATTGGAACTGGCCTAGACCCAGAAGCAGCAGTGTGATGGAAGTGAAGTTGGAGTTCATAAAGAACATGCAACAGAGAACATACTGGGCCCTCTCTCTTGAGCCTTGTTTGCTTCTGGTTTTGCTTTGTAGCTATTGTACCGAAACCATCTTGGAAAAAAAAAAAAAATTGTGTCTTGTTTGAGCAATGTATTCTAGCTAACAAAAAAGCTTATCTTGAGTGTCCATCTTTGTGTGAGGTTAACGGTACCTATTTAGCAGCTTGGTGTCTTCAAGCTTTTTGGCTGAAAGATACATATAATAATAAAACTTATAGAGGATCTGTTTCTCTTTAACAGCAATTGAGAAATGGATATTAATGGGGGGAAAGAAGTCTTTTATGTCTTTATCTCCTTGGAGAAATTTTCTAAAGGCCTGGCAGTAAATGATTGCAAAAAAGTTAGGGTAAAGCATTGGGGCAGTAGCTCATGCTTAAGCCAAGGTACACAATCAATTAAGTATGGGCTTGAGAATGAATTATACTGAATTGCTAATTGCAATTAAAAAGACAAAGCTGACAGAAAACTGTTAATATTTTCAGCTTAAAGAGAAAGTTCTCCTAAGGCAGCAAGGGAGTTATATCCTCACTGTGGAAGCTGGGAAGCAACTGCTGCTCTCTGCTGACAGTGGAGCTGAGGCATCCCTGCAGACAGAGCTCACTGAAATTCAGGAGCGCTGGAAGATAGCAAGCACTCAGCTGGAGCAACAAAAGAAGCAACTTGCTTTGCTACTGAAAGTAAGTGTGTGATTTCTTCTGTACCTCTTCAGCAAGTTCATGGTTTCTCACTGTGAACCCTGTTGAAGAAAAGCATTCTCAAGGGATAAGCACAAATACAGGAATTGCATATATGCTACGTGAGCTTACGATTTCATTTCACCACCTCTGAAACTAGGAGTGGTAATACTTCACAGTAGGCTTGTATGTTAGTTGATATTTCCAGAACACTGCCAATAAAGGATATTCCTACCAGTCCTATTTTCAACATAGAGCAAAACCATATTTTATTTTGCACGATGCTGGTTAATTTTATACATACCGTATTGAAAATTGGACCTGCCTTATTCCCTCTGCATGCAAATGTCAAGATCTAACAATGTAGTAGTCTGTGTTTCCTTCCCGTGTCTTGAGTATTTGCTAATTTAGATAAACTTCTGTGATCTTGAAGAAGGGAGACTTGAACTTTATTTTGATGTAAGCAATGTCCAGAATGCCTGCTAACCTCACTTTAAGTACTGAAGATGATTGGCTGGAATTTAAATTTGGTCTGTTTGTTTTTCCCTTTTACTCGTTCTAGGGAGGATAAGGAAAATTGGACTTGCGTGTATTAACAGAATAGGGCAAGTGCTTTTAGAATTGCCTCAGAGGTGTAATGGAATTGCAGAATTAGACACTTTAGTTTTGTTTGTAAATAGCAAGAAGCAAAACAGTGCAAGAAAAGGAAATACTATTTTGGAAAAGTTCAGATAAGTAAATTTTTCCTTCTCTTTCAAGCCTTATTCCTTGTACCTCAGCTTCTAGTGAGGGAATTATGTCAGGAAATTTTAGTCATGAAAGCTGTTATCTAGGGAGTCTAAAAGTTCTGTGGTATTTTGTCTCACTGAAAATATGGAAGCTAATTGCATAAATTGTCTCATAGATATCAAGCCTTTATTAAATTATGCTATCTTGGTCTTAAATACATGATTTTTTAGTGGTCTTCTGACCAAAGGGGAAGCACAAATGTATATTCTAGAAGAGTATGTGTTGCATTAGGAACATCACAGACTATTGTCATGTAAGGTCATATTACTTACTAAGGAGAGAATAAAGAAGACACTAAAGAGAGGGGAGTTTTGCAAGATCTGTTGTTTGTAATTTTCCATCTCAAAAATGATCATGAAATACTGGCATAGATTGGAAAAAGATGGGAGATAAATGCAAAGGCAGTTGTAGAATATCCTGAAACAGAAGACTAAGAGAAACAAGTTCAGTATTTTCTCATATCATACAACTGGCATTCTTTATGGGTTAACTGGCTTATTAGAGATTTTTCTGCCTGTGAGTACCTTTTTAATAGGCTTTAACAAGCAGGTGAAGCAGGTAAAACCATACTGTCACATGATGATTGATATGGTTTGATTGCATTGGACACATTTAAAATTTTGGAAAGCATACAACCACTAAACATGGGTGTAGCTGCCAGAATCATAATTTAGAGGAGATACTGTAGGTACTCCAATCTGACCTCAATTTGCAGTGTCCCCAACCACTTTATTTTTTTTCTTGGAGATTAATACACCTGAATGGAGTTGCTGTCAAAGAACAGTGGTGTGTTTAATACAGGCATTCAAGAAAGGAAGTGAAAAATAATTTTGGCAGGGAGAGGCTTTTCTGAAAGGATGGAGTTAGGTCTAGACAACATTGTACTAACAGGAGGCTTTGGCTTGCGTATTTCTACTAGCAGAGACCCACACACAAAAAATTTGACACAGTTGTACACGCGACTCAAGCTCTGAGACTGTAAGTACTCTTTAGAGGGGGACTTCAGGGCATGTTATTATTATGAAAAAGTTTTCATTGTTTAGTGGTAAGTTAGGCAAATCAACTGACATAAGTATAATCCAGATCTGAATTGAAGTTTAATAAACATTCTGCCTTCAGGACTGGGAAAAATCTGAAAAGGGTATAGGAGACTCCCTGGAGAAGCTAAGATCATTCAAAAAAAAGCTGTCTCAGCCTTTGCCAGAACACCATGATGAGTTGCATGCAGAGCAGATTCGTTGCAAGGTAAAGTGTTCTCTGTTGACTGTTGTCTCATCTATGCCTGTCTTTGTGTAGTAAACTTTTCCATTTTTAATAGGCTTCACATTACTGACTGCGCAGACCAGTCGGACACCCCTGTTACAAGAAACTACCCGTGTAACATTTGGACAGCATATATAATGCAAACCCTGCAGGGTTCTTAGATCTAATCAAAGTGAGATCAGAACAGGGTCTGAAAAGTCCTGTAGAAGTGCTAAATACTAGTGTGATTTTATTATAGAAATTCTAACTTCAAATTTAAACTCATGGTATCTGAACTGTTGTTTTAGTGCTTTTTATTTAAGGTGGGATTACTGGGGGGGATATTAGATAACATTTCTGTGCTATATTCTTTACAGTTTAGAAATGGATTACAGATTGAAAATATTTTCAATACAGAGAAGTCCAAACCAATGCTTGGCATTTTCAAATACCTTTGAACTTTAGAGAGATTTGAGTAGTATATTAGTTTGTGACTACTTGTCACAAGGCTGAGCTATCATTCTCTACTGGGGGAGTCACCTCCCTCCTAACTCTGACAATATTGGTACATACGGGGTTGGTGTTTTCTTTTTCTGTTAAATGGGGCTGAAACAGTCTGCTTGAAACGGTGGGTCTGCTCAGATACGACTTTAATTCAGTGGGATAACAATGCTTGTCTTTGTGCTTCATCAATACATTCAAATTTGTATTTGTTAGCAAACTAGTCCGTTTTCCTTGTGCACTTCTTTTAAGGAGTTAGAGAATGCTGTGGAAGGATGGACAGATGACCTTGCACACCTCTCTCTGCTGAAGGAGACCCTGTCAATGTATATCAGCGCAGATGATATCTCAATCCTCAGCGAGCGCATAGAGCTTCTGCACAGGCAGTGGGAGGAGCTGTGCCACCAGGCAAGTACAGCACTGAGCACTATACGAGCATGCA